GTAACAATTTTATCGTTAAAAAAGCACATAAAATCATTACTACTGAGTGCTATGGGAATAGAAGGCTCAGTCGAGCTGTGGCTCTCTGTCAGCCTGGCTACAGTGCTGAAAAGAAATCTTGCATTATTCTTATTCTCATCTATTAATGAAGAGTAGTAGGCTGCTCTCGCTTTACGCAGTGCTTTCTTATATTATTGAGAGTAATATGCCAATTAAACGAATTCTTCAAGTTTAGTGGAACGCCATATCCTTTCAAGTTGTCTCGACTTTTGCTTTATTTTGCGGGTTTCGGCATTATGCCATGGAGCTAATCTATGTTGGTTTTATTTTCTTCTTTTTCAAAGGAGCAACAGAGTCTAATTTTATTCGCAGCGCATCTGTAGCACTATCAACAACATGATCAATTTGGGGTGGTGTACATTTTGTATAAGTTTCCTCCCCTACATGCAGACATGCTATCGAGTTAAGTATTGGTGGAATCTCTTCCTTAAATTTGGCTATAGCACTAACGGATAGGTTTCCGCTGCAGGAGCTTTTGGCTAATGCTTTGTAGTCTAGTAACAGTACTTCAAAAGTTACTAAGAAATGGTCTGATAAAGCAGGATTATGCGGTTCGACTAATAGTTGCTCAATTTAAATACCATAAGTCAGAACAAGGTCAAGAGTGTGATTATAGCAGTGGGTTGGTTTATTTACACTCTGACAGAAACCAACAGAATCTAATATAGAGTTAAATGCAACAGTAAGGCTATTTTTATCATCGTCAACATGAATATTAAAGTCACCTACGATAATTACTTTATCTGTTTTAAGTACCAAAGTTGATAAAAACTCAGAGAATTCTGATAAGAAATCTAGTGAGATGGCAAATGAGAATCCTTCAGTATAAGTAGCCTTCCTTATGCTCCACTGATTACAGACTCAATAAGAGATGTACCTTTGCCCCGTAAATGATTCAATGCAGATGTATGTGTTTGTCACATAGTTTAATAACATAACAGAAAGTTATTAAAGAAAAATCTAAATTTGTATTTTCTTAGTAGTTCTTAGGTTTTCAGGCTGAATCGCATATTATATTATATGATTAATTCCATGAATTTGCTACAAAAAATTGTGTTTTGTTCTTCCTTCAAGACGCAAACACCATTTGAGTAAAATGTATTCCAATGTTTATTATTTATTCAAGCATCTGATAATCTTATGCATCAGTTTAATACATTATGAGATGAGTACAAATAAAAAAGTTAATGTGCAGGTTTTTGGTTCCAATAAAAACAGATATATACACATTGAAACTTATAGAATACATTTTTATTGTCTATTTCTGCCTACGAACTCCAGCATCACAGCAGAGTTTTGAAGACTTTGAAAGGCAGCGTGAGCGGTGGGAGCTCCGCCAGCAGAGGAGGAGGAGAATTCATCCCCGCTCAGTCAGCAAACAGAAGTGGGTGGAGACGCTGGTGGTGGCCGACCTTAAAATGGTGGAGCATCATGGGAGCAAAGCTGTGGAAAGCTATGTCCTGGCTGTCATGAACATTGTAGGTATATCTTAATTATAGTCTTTTTACTCATCTCAATTACTGCCCACACTTCTGTCAATGCACACAGTCATTCCGACCAGGTGTCTAAGTATTTCTTTACATTTGCATGCCTGTGCTGAAGTTTAATACACAAAATATGGCTTGCTATGGTTGCTATGCAACTAGAGAAAAAACATCAGCAAAGGAATAATGCTCCTTCTTTTGTTCAAACACATACATGATACAGTTTAACAACCATTGTAAGTAAATAATACAAGAGACAACTAAAAACACATTCACCAGATTGATGACACATGCACAGCATTTAGCACTTATAAGCAAATATTATTATGAGACAAATTTATTGTAAAAGCTATTATTGCGGTATATTTATGAATTTATATAAAATACTAAATAAATGATTACAAGATCCTTCCAGATATTTTGAATGCAGAGCAACATGAGGTTTAAACATCCTCACAGAGTAATTCTGCAGTTTGAGACCAGATTGTGTTTCCATCTCTGTGCCAGGTAACACAACGGATGGATTAACTAACACTTTCCTAATCAATGTTATTACCGCCTCATAGCATGGGGTTAAGCAAATTGACTCCTGGGCTGTTATCGATTAGCACAAACATTGTTTTTCCCAAATAAAATCATGCCTGGTCCACAGGATACCAGGAAATGGAATGAGTGACCGAGAAGCCTGTGGATTAACAGACTTAATAGACAATAATACACAGATGAAGCAGTCATTATTCCTCACATCCTCTCATAGTAATTATTTGGAGTCCTCTACACTCCAGCTTTGAACATTTAAAGCCCCAAACGATTCATTTTTATGAAAACAATCTTGCACAGGATCAAGGGGAAACAACCTCTAGCCCAAACAATCAGTAATAGCTTCTTCTTCTTCCGCGGCCGGCAGCTGCTCCATTGTCTCCTCACGGACGCAGTCTCCAAGCTATCAACTTCCCAAGACGTGCATTCATTTGAATTATTTCTGTACTGTGTGCACCCAGCGGTATGATTCACACACATGTAACAGCCAGGATACTCAATCTCAGCAGCAACATATTGAAAGCTCTTTCACAAAAATAGCTCCCAACTTCCTTTCACATGGTATTCTTATAGTTATTTATAGATTTTTCTTTGGGATATGTATCCCAGTCATATACAAGCAAGGCACATATGCTCCGTGTTGCATTGTTGGAGGAGCCTGGGATTTAAGTTTTTCATTGCCACATATACACTGTAGCTACTGTGCTCATGACAATAAAGCCTTGAATCTTAAGATCACATGGACATAAAAAAGATGCAGTAAAAGTCAAAAAAGCATCACTTACCATTTGAGACTGGGCGTAAATGTTGAGCATGCAGCTTGAGAGGAAACACGCTAACACATTGTGGCTTTAAATAGCTGCAGCTCTATTTGTATTGAAACGATTAACAATAGAAAGACGTAGAAAGACTGATAGCAAACGTATTGGGTACTGTTAAAATGTTTTGCAAAGTTGAATCAGCTACAATATGTTTACTAAACATCTGTAATTGAACACTACTGTACAAGACAAAAGTTGAAACAAAGTTTTGATGAACCAAAGCGTTGCATGTGTGTCAAAGCTATTCATTTTGAAGTGCCTCAGTAACAACAGAGAAGGTTTGAGAGGTAGACGTTTTGGATGGCAGCAAGAATCTCAATGCAAGATTCAAAGATTGATTGCCCTTTCATATACACAACTACGGTGTAGTTATGCAATGAATGAAACACTTAGGTCACAGGTTTCCCAACAGAGCAATTACAAGAAATACATTTTTATAAAAATACAATGAAATATTCCAACAAATAAAGATTAACATTTTGCAAGCTCAGGTGTTTAATAGTCTTATGGGTGGAGGGCGGTGCAGCTGCCGTACCAGGCCGTCGGGCAGCCGGTTAGGATGCTCTCCTCTAGAGTTGAGTTGTAGAAGTGTTGCTTCTACAACTCAACTCTAATCAGACTCAAGCAGCCATACATAATTGCAGTTATTCCATTGCAGACTAAAATGTCTCTCTTGCTCCTTGGCATCAATTGTTTGCAGTTTTACGACTCTAAATTGAACTCATCCATCTTTATAAGCACTTTCTTCAATGATTAGTCCAGCATCACATTAGCTTAAGCCAAACTGTGAAATACTTCTGCATTGAATAAGACATTTGTTGTGTTGAAATGAAGACAGAAAACTTGAGCTTCATGCATTTTAATGCCTAATGAACGAATGTCCAATGTGAACAAATGTGAAAATGAAAGCACATAAACGGCATGATTTATTGTGCGGATAGCCTGGTATAGTACAATTGGGATGTAAATTTGTTTTTTATTATTATTTCGTGATTATAGTCCTTGACTTAAGATATTCGTAGCCTATTATCACTCTGATAATGATGGATTAAATTGCACGTTTTGACACTCATTATGTTATAATTGAAGACTAAAAAGCTTGAGTGAGACAATTTTGGAGATAAACTAATATTAAAATGTAAGGGTCGTACACTTAATTGCTTCAATCATAGATTTTTCGACTTTTGGCCTAAGCAATTGCACTTTAATTACGTATTAAGAGCATGTGTAAAGAAATGCTGAATGAGCTTTTATCTTAAGAGGTTGAATTATTGTCAAAATGCTACTTTAGATGCACTGTATTGAACCTTAAGGTCTGTTTACCTCGCCCAATATCAGAGGGTCGAGTGTTTGTACAAGGGAGTTATATAACGAATGTGTCTTATTTAATATTACATTTTGAAATGTTCTGATAAACCCAAGATGTTCCACATATGACTTACAACAGCAACTTAAATGCACCTTATCTTAAATAATAGTTAAATTATTGCTATAATAAGTACGTATCAGCAGCCTTACTGTACTGTATATAGAATACTTTTGATATGCCCTATGCTGTGGGAGCGAAGAATGAGAACCGTAAAAAAAAGAGTGTTTTTTTCTCCTTCAGGTGGCGGGTCTGTTCAGAGATCCCAGTATTGGAAACGCAATCAACATTGTGGTGGTTCGACTCATACTACTAGAGCAGGATGAGGTAAAACATTTTTTGTTTTTATGATGAAATGTAAGTCATTTTAGAATTTTAAAAAGGGAATAAGCTTTATTCATTAGTGGGCTGTTACTTTAAATATAATAAAGCTTAAAATCATTATTTTAAACTAACAGGTAACTTGTATGAATGACTTGCAACACGGCCACAAAGTCTAATCCTAAACTATGTTGTAGAGTCAGAGTTTATCAGCACCTCTAATCTAATTTGTTTAAATTATGAAGAGAAAAAAACACACTTTACGATGTTAAAGGGGATTACATGTCGATGCTCAGTAACCTCCTGAATTGTTGTCTGCCAGGCAAACACCAGAGATGCCTACACCGCCCCATAAACTGTTACTTAATTACTCTGCTTTTTACCCGAAAAAAGCAAACATTATAAAACATAGTGTGCTTTCGGAGGCAGATTGGATTAACTGGGCAGAGCCAGGCTTGCTATTCCCCCCTGTTTCTAGCCGTTATGCTAAGCTAAGCTAACCGGCTGCTGGCTCTAGATTCAAACTGTATTTATCGTGCAGACATGAGAGTGGTATCCATCTTCACATCTTACTTGTGGCAAGACGGATATCCCCCAAAATGTCAAAAACGTTTCCTTCTAAAACTTTATTATTTGAATTGTAATGACAAGCTAGAGCCTAAATGCAAAGCGGAGGAAAATACATCACAGGGCAGATACTTTCACAGTTACATGTTCGTGTTAATTATTTTCTAAATTAATTATTTATTCGAGACTAATAAAAGGCAAAAGGGTTAAACTAATTTCTGCTTTCAAATAGTTAGCAGCTGTCAATGTTTCCTTTATTGTCCTTCACAGCAGCAGATAATGAGATTTAGATGTGAACTGAGCAAATAAGCTCAACAAAACCACTTTCTTTTTCATTTGTTGACATGAGTCTGAATGTCTGTTATTAGGGCCAACTAGGTTTCACTTAAAGGCTGCATATACTGTGATGGCAGAGATGGGGCAATTTCAATTATCTTATAGCATGTTCCATAAAACTGAGCCTATATTTTTCTCTTTGCTTTGCACTGTGATTTCTGAACCTGTTGACTTGAATTTCCCCTCCCTTCATCTCCACGTGACATGTTGATAACAGGATGACTTAAAGATTACACACCATGCTGACAACAGCTTGAACAGCTTCTGTAAGTGGCAGAAGAAACTAAACATGAAAGGAGAGGAACACCCGCTCCACCACGATGTAGCAGTTCTGCTAACAAGGTGAATAGAAACTCAACACACCAAATGTCACTCTCAGTCGCACATAATCCATGGTCTCCCAAGAGAGTCGAAGCTGTAGCTGTTTTACATCTTCCCGGAGCACATATTGATTTTCTGATCTAGATAGTTGACGAGAGAATAATGGAAGCTCCATGCCTTATATCACAAACAATCATATATTGTTGTCTTTTTCATTTGACATTTAACATTTGTCGATGAAGTTAACAGATTGATAGTCAAGTCCCAAATGCCTCAATAGAGCAAGTGAAATAAAAAGAAAACAAACACTGCACTAAATAATTATCCAATGAAGGTCGATGTGGCTCATTAATACAGGAAAGACCTTTCAAACTGTTTTTGAGAGGAAAACATTTGCAGTACAAAAGGAATACAAAAAATATATACTTTTGTCTCTCAGAACATTCTATTCTGTTCTTTTTCCTTTGAATTGTAAAACCTTTGTTTAAAGTATGCTTTACAAATAAGTTAGCCTTGCAGTCTTTAGAATTATTTTTACAGATAGAAGATCATTTCTGATTTCACCTGTTTTACCTCGTGATTCACTCCTTCCCTAAAGATAGATTTATGTATCACTCTATCCTATATTAAAATGTAGGTGTACCTTACACGTTTCTTACAGAGGGTCCAATTTATTGGTTATCCCATTTATATTTTTTATATTTATCGTATCTATGAACTTCAAAGTAATGTCAAACGTATTAATAATTTAATATAACTATCTTTCTATAATAAAGACAAGAAGCGAATTGTTAAAAAATATGTAAGGAAATTCAGTGTTGGGAGGTTATTTTGTGTTCAGTATTTAAACTGTTTGTTTGTGTTTGCATTCAGGTTTTAAATATTAAAGGACTAATTTAATGAACATTTTTCTTTGACGTTTTTCTATAACTTTGAAAAATACAGTCAGTATTTATATTTATTATTTAACAAGATCTTATTACATTTGTATCACCCAAAAGATGGCTTGTTTACAGCTATAATTAATATAATTGTAACATTGATTCGATAATAACAGAAATAAACACAGTCTGCAGCAGATGGGATTGTTTGTCTTTTGTTTCCTACCAATACTCTCCAGTCGTTTATCACCTCCCAAATCAGTATCTGTTTTCCATCATTGTATAATTTAGATTTCCAAAGTATCGTCCCTAGGGATGTAACGATACCAAAAACTCACGGTACGATAATATCGCGATAAAAAGTCCACGGTATGATATTTATCGTGATATTGAAAAATAAAGGAAAAAAATGTGATTTTTTTTTTTTTTTAATATATATATATTTTTTAATTAAATAATACATCTGATTTGTACAGTATTTTAGTAGGATAGTAGTATTTTAAAGTGTCAACAATATAATAATCAGACCCTGCAATAGAATAAATCAAGTTTCACTTTAGTTTTTCAAGTAACTCAACTCTAACTCACTCACTCAGCATCATCAAGGTTATCTTTTAGGAATATGAGCATGTCCACATTTCCAGGTAGAAGCTGGGATTTTTGGGCGTTTACAATATCCCCTGCTGTGGAAAAAACTCTCTTGCTTAGTACTGATGTTGCTGGGACATAGAGATATGCTTTGGCCATGGGTGACAGCAGTGGGTCAAACTGTGCATTGTCTCTCCACCACTTCAAAAACAATACAGTTTTTTCCAAGAAGGTGAGGCTTATTGACAGGGCGAGATATAAATATACTGTTGGTACTTGTCAATGTCTCTAGGTGTGTACATGTAGCCCTGTAAATACGATTGTGTTATCTGTTGTTTTATGTTCATGTTGTAACCTACTTGTTGCCATGTTGGAGAGGTCTCCCTTGAAAAAGAGATCGACGATCTCAATGGGATCTGGTTAAATAAAGTTTAAAAAAAATAAATAAATAAAAAAAAATGTTTTTGTATTTTTTTAATTAAAAAAATCGCGGTATATTTTGTCAGTCTCACGACGGTATTCGATATATCGTTACATCCCTAATCGTCCCTCATTTTGCCTTTTTAAATAAAATGACATCTGACACACTCCGCTCTTCATAGGAAGGACATCTGTGCGTCCATCAACATGCCCTGTGAGACGCTGGGCCTGTCCCATGTGGCGGGGATGTGTCAGTCGCATCGCAGCTGCAGCATCAGCGAGGACACCGGCCTCCCTCTGGCCTTCACCGTTGCTCATGAGCTGGGACACAAGTACGGTTTCACTGCACACACACATTTAATTTGTATTTTATTATACCTTTATTTAACCAGGATAAGTCTCATTGAGATTAAAAATCTATTTTTCAAGAGAGTCCTGGCCCAAGAATGGTAACAGCACAGTTACAGACAATTGAAAAACACACAATCACAACACAGTCATACAACAGCGGCCTGCTTCAAGGTCATTTAAAGTCCCTTTGAGTTTGTTATATGCAATAAACACACACATTTGAATGTTCTGCTTTATGTTCATTTAGTCGAGTAATCGGCAAGGGAAAACTAAGAAAGCAACCTCCTGTGAACACTTGATGATGATATGTTTCCATTTAACTCAAATGATTCCATCAATATACATTATTTACTGTTCACCCATAAGCTGTCCTACTGTATGTGGCACAGCAAATAAAAAAACTAAACTCCTAAAGATTCACCACTTAAAATGTCTTCTTAGTTTTTGAAACAACACATTTATTTCAGGCAGACATGAAGAAAAACAGCCTGAATTAATGTTGCTAAAATATTTAATCAGCTGAAGAATAGTATGCTTATTATGCCGGTACTCTGTTGCTCATTGCTGCTATGTTATCACAATTATTCCAGCCTTTTAAGTACTACTTCTAAGAATTAATTCATTATTTTCCTTGAATGTCTCCACAACAAACTTCATAATTAGAGGACAAACTAATAGAATGTTAACAAAAAAGGACAAAAGCTTTTCATAAAGGAACAAAAACAATGCATCAAACAAAAGCCAACCTTAACCTTAAAACTGGGGTTAAGAGCTTAAAAACCTCTCTTACAAATCATATTCTGAATCACCTATTTGAGTATTTCATTGTTTTCTATTATTGATTGATTCATTTTATTTGAAAGTACTTGCCCTTGTAAGCTACCGGTTCTGCATGGATTCAACCAATGAAAACTCATAATTAGAAATCCATTAATGTGAGGAATAACGATAACTGTAAATGGCCCATACAGAATTCAAACAGACAATCCATAGCCCAAAGAAATGAGACGTTTATCTTTCATCACATCTGCACTCATTTTCTCATGTACTGCATCGATCCATTTGCCATTTCTACATGAACTTTGCAATCATAGGCCCATTCTTCTCAGACTGATTCAATTTGTTTTCAATCAATGAAAGCATTGTGTGGTTCATTGTGCTATTGTATATACATCTTGATTGTTATGGCCGAGCCTGATGTACTTACCCTCACCATATGCGTGTGTATGATTGGCAGCCAGTTCACGGTATATGTTCAAGGAGATTTATTTTGAATGCTAGGCAGAAAAGAGGCTGCTGTGAGAGTCCTATGGGAGAAAATTGATTCACTGAACCTACAACAGTGTACTGACAGACTGTGGGGGTTGTTGTTCAGCAACTGTGACCTTTCACTCAGGTTTGTCCAGGAATGTCCTGATTATAAAATGGGTGTACTTAGTCTGGAAATATAATTGTAAAAAACCCAAAAAAGTCATTAATGACACTGTCTCACTTTTATTACGACTGCCACACATAAGCGTTAGCCAAGTGAACTGAACCAAACTCAATGGTCCCATTTTTCTGTTTCAAATATGGACAACAAAATGTCAACATTCAAAGAAGAAATATATGTATAAATAGTATGAATTATAGTACACAATCCTGTGGCATAAAAAAGCAAAGGCTAATAAACTAGATGCTAAAAAGATTAATAGATTAACGATATGATTTATTTAGTTGTTGCACAGTAAAGTTACACAGGTGATAATACATTCCTGCAATTGTCATTTTAGCTAATGTTTCCTTGCTAATGTTGATCATGATAATGTTACCGTATTACACGAAAACATTTCAAATGCGGTGAAAACAAGCATAATGTTAACTTTTTATAGAATGAAATGTTCACACAAAACATGAGAATGTATGTTTATTTTACGTTAACATTCACTTCTTTGTTCATGTATAGTTTGCATTATGTCTTGTTCATGAAATAAATTCATAAGCAGATATTCTGTGTGCATAAAGTGTTGTTCAAAATCATCAGCAGAACAGCAGAGCAAACACAGGCTCCAATTTTATCTGTTGAAACAGGGATTTTTTGATATATCTCTCACAAATGGCTTATTTTTGACCAGCATCTATAAGTCATTGGTAGAATCAGCTTTATTAATTTCACCGCAGTTTTTTTTCTCAATGCTTTGATATCTACCTTGAAAGAGAATGTGGACAATCTGTTTACATTTGTTTTATGTTATCCCTGCTGTGACCAGATTGTTCAATCTGTTATGCCTCTGTCGCTCAGCACTGCTGCACCTGCAGGACAATAGATAAGGGTTGTAATCTCAGCATGAGCAATACATGCAGTTCACAGAAAGACGTATGTACAGACTTTGTTTGTTGTAGCCCTTTCCTTGAAGTGCATGTAATGCGTTGTATCTACTGACTTTAATTACCCTCTCTGTTTGATTTTTTTTTTCTCACAGCTTTGGGATTCAGCATGATGGCAACGGTAATGACTGTGAACCCATTGGGAAACGACCTTTCGTCATGTCTCCACAGCTCCTGTACGGCACCTCCATGCCCAGGTGGTCCCGCTGCAGCCGCCAGTATATCACCCGCTTCCTAGAGTGAGTGTTACCCATGATGCATTACTACACTGCTGTCTGAAGTTTGACTTAGATCGTGTGTTTCTTTCAAAGTTTTCGCTGCCCAAAACTTTAATAAATGTATGTTAAAGTTACAAAGGCCATCGTATACAGTAAATATACTGTATATGTGTGCTCTGTGTGGAAAGAAAGGGTTTCTGTGCTACTTGAAGTTCTATACATGTCTAGATGACCTTCATATTCCTCTCTTATGTTCAATTTGAAAGAAAATGATGGCTTCTATAGAGTACTATACCTCGTTGTTCGAAACAAAGGATTACAGAGGTTCACACAAGGATGAATAAGAATACAAAATAAATCATTTAAATAACAATAATATAATATAAATAACAGTATAAATAAAATATCAACAATAGCCTGAACATTATAGTACATAACTTTCCCGTTATTAGGCTCTGAAGTTGGGTTGAATCAGCGCCATATAGATAGAAACTCAGATACTCAGTCTATATGGCGCTGGGTTGAATCATTGATGGTGGAGCGTCCAGTAATGGCTACAGGTACAAAGGATTGCTCATTTTGTAGTCTGCGGCTGAGGGAGTCTTTGTATGTGCTCTGAATGTAATCCTCCTTTTAGTCTGAGGAGAAGTCAAGCTTCAGCAGCGTCAACTGTTGCATTTATTTTCCCACATTTTCTCATCTAAGTGGGAGACGAGCAGTAGGTAGATTTATGTGTGGATTTTTAGATAATGGAAATCTTTAACCTTTTGGAGCAGCGTTTGACTGCAACTTAAATATATATGTGTGTGTGTGTGTGTGTGTGTGTGGGGGGGGGTTAGAGTATGTTGGAAGGAACAGGAAGCTGGGGAGGTTGTGTTGAAAAAATAGCCCCAGCTCCGTTTAGTGTGTGTGTTTTTTTCCACATGCTGTGTGACCAGAGGCTCAGTATTCTTCTCCAGAGTGGGCTGCTGTTTTCAAAGACTTGCACTGTGCTTCTGTCTCCAACGAGACCTGTGTTGAATGTCTGAGATATTTCACCACAGTTGCCCCAGTTTCTCAACAGCTCCAAGCATCTGGAATTCATTCAGTGGGTGTTCTGCTACTTGACAGCATTGTAGCTCCTTGACTTCACTGTGGAGAAGAAAAGGGCTGCAGGGCGATATTTACACTTGTGAGAGGGTGTTACACAAAAGCTACTGGTTTGTGTTGTTGTGAGAGTGTCTGGGTGATAGGGGTTTCACAACTACCAATATTTACTAGTCGACGCGTTTTTCAAAATAGTAGTCGACTAGTCGTTACGTCATAATAAAGACACACAAAGAGAGGTGTACAACTGTATTTTATATTGGAACTCATACAGTAACATTAAACACTGCATTTTAATTTGTGTTACATGGCTGAGTAAATAACAAACAGTAACTGGACTCACCAAAATCGACAGCAAAAAACTCTTGTTTACATAAATGCCACGTAAATCCAGTGCGCAACACTTTATTCGCTGTCCTCCACGATAACGTCCACCTTTCCATATTTTTGGTTTGGTTTAACACCAACGCATCCTCATGTGAGGGAAGGAGGCTTGACCGCTTTCGGGTGACAGTGTTGCCTGCCAGGGAAATAACCCTCTCACTCGGGGTGCTTGTGGCTGGAATAGCCAGGTAGCTCCTCGAAAGCGGGGGAAGCGGTGCACGTTTTCTGCCCACCACTCCAGTGGATTATCCATTGTGGGGATATGCGGTGTCCGCTGGCAGTAATCCCGTAGCTCATCATCCGCATCACTGTTGACCCGTGTTTTCTTGCTGTTCGTTTGCCTCTGTTCAGTGCTGACGCCGGTCCGTTGCTCACTGGTGCTAGCATTACTGCTAGTGCTAGCTGTCGGCAGCGGGTGTCTCATCTTCAGATGGTTGCGCATAGCAGATGCATTTGTATTGTACTTCAGTACAGCTGTACACAACTGACACTTCACTGTGGAGTTGGTTACATCTTCGTTGAAGTACTGCCATACATAAGAATGTCAGACGTGTTTTGGAGCATTTGCAGCACCTCGTTTACCTCCATTTTTTTCAAGACTAGTTGACTAGGGCCTACAGCGCCGACTAGTGGTAAAGGTAGTCGACTAGTCGATTAGTTGGTGAAACCCCTACTGGGTGATGGTTATTATAAAGGAGACAATAGAGAGTTATGTCCACACTTACAGCTACCATTTCCCACGCATGTGTTTTTTGTTAAAGGAATTGGCAGGTATGAATCAGTTTATTACTGCTGCTAACTTGCGTACAAATAAATGGCACAGCAGATAACAGACAACAAATAGCTATTGTAAATACATTTTTAATCCTGAATAATTTATTATACATTATGATAAAATGCTCTACAATGTTTTAAATTATTTTTAAAAAGACTGGCCTTTTTTATTCTGACTGAGACAAATGACTATTTAAAAGAAAAGAGATTAAACATTATTCCCGTCCAGCCCCCTCCCAGTTGGCGTATCCTTGTCTTTAAACCAGCTCATTTAGCCATCCTCTTCTAAACCACTTAATCTGAATTCATTGTTTTCTACCCTTTGAGAGTGGACTACTGATATTGGTCTTCTGATCTCGTAGCGCTAAACGGCAGCGCTCCACTCATTTTCTCTGTTTCATCTCTTTCACTGACAGCAGGACAAGGCTTCTATTGTATCTTTGGCTCTGGTTGTCCCGCAGGCCTCCATTGCTCACGCTGCTTCAGAGGTTGGGTCCGTAGGTGTTATTTTATGTGGAATGTGGAGGGTCACACTCAGTGGAGTGGTTTAGATATTATCACATATATGGGCTACTTATAAGAACACAAGAAACCCTTGAATGTCCAGAGGATGATTCCCTGAAATTTGACACAAAGACAGACACAAATCTTACACATACTGTAACATGGCATATTTCATCAAGGCTAATAATTATTATTAATACATTTCGTTTGAGATTAATGGATTCAGGACACAGTTAATTAACCATCATAAACATTCCCGGGAAATCTGTCTCTGACAAATACCTAATTTACCCTCTGCGTTTTAGTCTGGAGGCACTCATGGAGAAGATTTTAATTGCTGCTGCTCAATTACCAGTGTGAAGTCATCCCAAATAAATGATTTTGTTGTTAAGTGCCAAACAATCAGCCTCCATATATTTAAATCTGATATATATATATATAGATAGATATTTCTTAGGTTAACACAAACACAAGTGTATTGTTGGTCGGACTCTGTTCCTCATTTTACAAAGTGTTTTATTCATGCAGTCATTTCTCCTTAAAGCTGCTATAATCATTCTCTATATTAATAATGGCTGAAATGAATTTGTTTTTAACAATTATCACCTGACTGCATTTCCCCATATATTTTCTACAAATACTCAGTTATTGTTCAGCTGGTGAACTCAGTGGGGCTTTAGCAGCTAAAGAGAGTGATATTTATGTTGTATACACTACTGTAAATTCTAGTACTGCTCTTTGTCTGCTGAATGTGTAGAAAGGCCATGTTGTTGTCATGAGATAATTCAAGGTAAATCTGCACCCTGTTAGCAGCCTTCAAATTGCAAGAAAACAATAACAGCAGAAGGTTCTTAGGTACATTGTGACTTCTTCCAGGTGACCTCGTTACGCATATTCACAGTAATCACAACATGGTGTTTTTGTGTAAAATGTCACATTTACACTTAATGTAAATCCAACATAACCTTTTTATCGCAACTGTAAATGCATAATGAAGGAACACAACCTGTGCAGGTTATCTATATCTTGTTAGCGGCGACGCAGCCCCCCGTTTTAATTGCAGCCTCTGGCGGAAGGTGGTGATTCATTATTGCGTAGAGCAGCTGGGTTATTCTAGAATAACAACATCCCTTAGAGGATTTTAAATGTATTGGTGCAAAGCAAAGTGACATCTTGGACAAAGGAATCTTCCCCTTACATAATTGCCAGGGTAGCTTCATATTTGCTTTGCATGACGTGAAAGTAATTGTCATTCATATCACAAAGCTTACATTATTTGAATTACCACATGATCATTACATTTGCACGAGATTGCTCATTATGGAAATGTGGGGTGTGTGTGGCGCAGTGGATTTGTGCGTTGGTGTTCGGATCAGGGGGTCACAGGTTCTAACCCCACTGCAGTCAGCATGTTGTTGTGTCCCTTAGACACTTCACCCCAAATTGCTCCTGTGGGGATTGCCCACAGTATCGAGTATGTCAGTCGCTTTGGATAAAAGCGTCTAACAAGTGACATGTAATGTAATGTGGGTGCAGGCTAATTTTGAAGTGACGTCCTCAACAAAACAAGTGTTTCATCCGTACATCAGATAAACAGAACGCTTTGACATTGTGAAACATTTGATATAAGTGCTTCAGATTTTTTTGTTTGTGTAAAATATTATAGTTGTTATGCTGTTGCTTCTTCTTATAGTAGATTGTATTTTGTGGTATGTATGTTAAATGACCTGATTATTCTTCATCTTTTCCTCTTTACCTGTATAGTGATTGCCAACACAACCAATTAGAAGAAAAGTTATAAGATGTCAATTTGGTTTATTTATATGTAAACCATGCTCTCTTATAGATGATTACATTTCTAATTAGTTGTTTTCATTGAGATAACCTGGCTGTATCCTTGAGATAATACTCTATGGAGTTAATATTATAATATATTTAAACAAAATAGTAATTATTGTGACTGACAGAACTTTGTTTAATTGCCTATGGAAATGGGAAGCTATAATGAGGCGATTAACCCAGAACTTAGCCTTTCCCTGTATTCCCCTCTCAGGAAGTCATTAAAAGTGATGACATGAACCCTTTCTGGTTCTCCCAAAGCTAATGTCATAACCACTTCCAGACAGTGTCAGTCCAACCATCCGTGTTGCCACTGACAGTAAAACTATTTTCAGTTGAACTATGCTGCAGCACTAATGGCTGCATCGCTATGGAGCCCCAGACATAAATTACCTGGCAGATTAGTCCGTAGCAAAAGAGGGATGGACACACACCAGACTGTGCTGTTCAACTATAGTGGATGTAAGAGTGGAACAAATTGCACTGACTAAGCCTTATCATGTCATTTTATTAAAACAAAAACTGGTAAAACTGACATCAAGAGTTGACATCTATGCAATTCATTAAAACGATTTTTACGTATGATTTAAAACGTTTTGCTTTTGCAGGTTTCAATTAAACTGGTACTTTTAATTAACACAATTGCTTCTGCTGAATATGTTAACAAACACACTGTCACTGCCACAGTGTTGATTTATTCATGTCACCATGTTTGTGAGATCCTCACTTAAATGCATATGCAATGAAGATCGAGGTGCAACTTGCCAACACTCACACATGACACAAACTGCAACTCCAGTGTGTCAAAGGACTCAGAAAGCTGGCCAGTCTCCTTTTGAAACTTAAGTATCTTGCATTTTATCCTGCATATAACTAGGCTAAGAATGATTGATTTGAAAATACAATAAATGATGTATGATAATACAAAAAAATGGCCTAGCCCCTTCCGAATAGACACATACTTCCTGTTGACGAGATATACTAGGGTCATTGTTAAACTTTTAATTAATTTATCTGCATCCTGGACACAAATAGCTCCACCCTTATCTTCAGGTTGAATCACAGTATCCTCATGAGCCAGTATACTCGAAGAATTCCTTTAATTTAATGTCAAATTATTTGAAACATGGAATGATTGTTGATTGATAATCATGATGTATTGTTTAATTTTCATGTTTACTTGCTAGCAATTTTCTAAATGTTGTTGCATATTAATACCGCCTGGAGATAAGGGGAATAGTGTGAAATCATTATCAGAAAACTATGCGTGCATTCCTTTATGCATCCATGTGCGAACAGATAGCAGACCCACTTATAAAGACTCCAGAGTTTTCACTGCTTGTGATCAAAAACTCTCCTGAGTACCTAAGCTCATAACTTCTCTCTATATATTTATGCCTCAAGAATTCAGTTAATTACCACATTTTTTGTTTGTAAATATTCAGTGCTAGAGATGAGCTTAAGGATATTTAGCTCAAGGATGAATGCCCTTTGTATTGAATTGGCACTAGATTGCTCAGGTGTTGCTTGGCGGCTGCTATTCACACATTCTATTCTGTAGCCAAACACTACTGTAGGTCAACATTATCATTATTTCTTGGATTGTTGCAGAAGATTTTTGTTGCATTCATTCCTGCTTCATTTTATTCCGAGCGATTGCATCAGCTGGAAACTTTACTTATGTGGGATACAAGATATCTGCTTGTCTCTTGGCGCTCAGAATAACTAATGCAGTCTTTCTAAACGTTTTCATGGCGGAAAGTGGACCACAGAAAGAGTACAGACATTTTTAAAGATGTTTCAGATAGTACTATGTGTGTAACAAAGAGACGTCTGTAAACTGTGCTAACCAGGCTCTGTTTTTCTGTTTTTCCCCCAAAACATATCCCCCCACTTCTGCCCCTGGCTCACAGCCGTGGCTGGAGCTGGTGCCTTGATGATGCCCCGGTGAAGGACCAGCTGTCTCTGAACTCGGTGCTTCCCGGGGTCCTGTACAGCGCGGCCCATCAGTGCCGGCTGCAGTATGGATCTGGATCCCTGCTCTGTGATGACATGGACGTAAGACTCTTTCACAACAAATGTATAAAAACAAATCGTCACAAAGCCATATACGGCTGAATGGAATGCACGTTGGTCCTCTGACATCTCCTTCTTTGCTTTCCTCTACAATGCCTTTTTGTATTATACTCTTTTGTCCTCATTTTTTCTTTCTATTATCACTTGTCTTGCTGTTTTCTTCACCAACAGATTTTGTCTGATCTTCTACTCTAAGCTCTCACAGCAATACTCACAGCCCCCATCCTGCTCTGATCCCATTATGTCTTCAGCACAGTGTTCAATTCTAACATATTTTTAGGAGAACATCTTTTAAATGAAAATGAAACCCCAAAAAGCAACCTTGGTGCTCCCTATAATAAATAAGGTAGAGCAGCATATACAATATGTAAAGTAAATTATGATATTTTAACATTTTGATCAGGTCAAGTGTTCTCTCTTTTCGATGTTGGTGGATAAAAGACTTCAGTTAAAAAAATCTACCTGAAGCAATAAAAGTGTGGCGCACAATATTAGATTTTAAAAACCTATTTGAAATAACATCCTATCAACATCATTGTTGATCTCATTAATTGACAAAATTGACTAACAAGTGTTGTTTGTTGTAGTGAGAAGAAAAAAAATCACAGTTATTTAGAGAGTTACTATGTTAACTGCAGAACAGGACACATCGCTGTGTGATGTTGTCCACACATGGCTTCTTCAATCTGCTGTCCACAACATGTGCTATATGGATTTTTTTTTTATTCTTCGACTGTGTTGTGGAAGGACAACCGGAACGGTCTGAGCAAATCTAATGCACAGCTCCCACAACCCTCTGCATTTCACTGTGTACTCATCAGTAATATTATATAATGCTGTATATATAAAATGTCACTTGCACACACATGCTCTACAGGCCGACAGTAAATTAGGTCTCCGAGGTTCGAGCCTAGTGTTTGTACTAAATCCTTTATATACAGACTGGGACCAACAGATACTTCTATTCCAGTGTCACTAAATAGCAATGACTTGTTACTGCCCGTCAAAGATTTCTTAAATTAATAACATAAATTGCTTCTTCGGGAAGTTTTCAGTCCCAGCATGTGATATTTCACTAGATCTATCGGTAATAATCTTGTGTCACAGAGTCACTATTAAAATGCAACTAATGCTGTTTTCTTTATACTCCAGAGTGGACGTGGAGGAGAAGTAGCACTCAGAGTAGCAAGGGATAGAAGATTACGTAAGTAAACTTAATTGAGATACCACTAAAGAAGTCCAGTTTGAGCACTAAAGAGGTTTAATACAGTCAACAGCCAGTTTATATCTTTGCTTTGCTTCATACTGTTCCTCTCAGCAGGTTTTCTGTAGGCAAACCTCGATATCTTATTCTGTCTTTGCTTCTTTTGTATTGATCGACCATGGGTCTGAATACAGTGCACTCAATATTTCATCTTGTTACATCATTTCTTCAAACCACTCAATACACCGATTGTTGTCTCTCAATATAGTTATTTTAATACTGAATATTTTCTTTTATGTTATCCACTTTTGAAGTTTTAGGGCTTCCTTTTTTTTCCCAGTTCTGCAATACAAGCTTTTAAAGCAGTAAAAACAGAAAGGACCCATCCAGTTCGGAAAGATATTTTTCCAATGTGATTTTATGTTATGTTTATGTTGTTCAAAATGCTATTTTACAATTTCAAGCTATTGAAATACTTTTTATTTTTGTATTTCCGAAGTCCTTTTTGTACAATAACTACCAGTTATTCTGTCTTTCCAATTTGATCATAAAAAGCGGTCTTTTGCCAATACTATTTGATACCATTGAACCTTGTCGTTCTGAGTGGCTACAATCGAAACCAGACATGAAAAGGGATGTTTTGAAAAAATGGAATCCCTCCCCTACACGCACACAACTCGGAAAACAATGTTTTCGGGTTGTTTTTTTTGCGGAAGCTGTTAAACCATCTTACGAGCCGGTCTGATGGAACATACTGGGGTTTTAAGGGCCCCATGTGTTTTCTAACAGCCAACTAGATGTATTTTCTGTACTGTATCTGTAAGCACCTCAGCATGTTCAGACAGAACTGTCCTCCCCTTTTTTAGCACTGGAAACTCCCCTCGCTGCATTCATCAATCCTAGAATTATGACATGAGCTGGATTTAACTCACTGCATAAGCAAAACGCTCATCTTACCGCATAGCTGGTCGTGATAACATGGCTCACACATGACAGTCTCAGTATTCAAGCTCACTGCTGAAGAATCTCAGAGACTTGGCATGTTTGAAGTATAGAAATGATGCACACAAATGTTTTTGATACATATTGGCATACTGTATATTGACTCCTTTAGGGAAGTATTTCCTGTGTTGTGCATGTCTGAGTAAATAGATTGTAAATTTGATAAAATCCTCTGCTTGCAAACCTGTATGGTTTGTAAGTATGATGTGAGTTATGGTTGGGGGCTGATCTAAATAATTGATATATAGTATCAGGCCAAAGCAACAGGAGTAGCAAAATATCCGACATACGGAAAGCCTCACGTGTATTTTCCCCCCAGCAATGTAATTACTAAAAGTAACAACTTGGATGATCTTTTAATTTAACTTGTTACAACATGTGCGTCGTTTACGAGCGCCCCCCCAGGATGGAAAAACAACTGTGAGAAAAACAATTCAAGCTAATCCAATCCACTCACGAATCCCACGTTACATAGTTTCTTGAGTTCAAATGTTGAGTTGGGGATGTTTATTCTTTATAGCATGGTTACCAACCTTGAAGTTTAATTGTACCCTGGAGTTTTCTTGTATACATAACATGCAGTGTGTATTACCAATATTAAGACTGCGTCATTGAGGCCTAACTGATGTGATGAACATTGCCTTTAAATAAATATTTTTGACATTTTCGACTTCATCTTTAACCTTAACACATTTGGCAGTCTGCAGATATGTGGTTTAACTGCTCATAAAAATGTCTCCATAAACCATAGGTGAACATAATCTCAACAGGAAATCTTTAAGCCTTGAATTTCTAATCACAATATATTTAAAGTTTCATTCTCATATTCATGTTTTTTGTAACACCATAGGATATGCCTGTTAAATAAATGCAGCATAATCATAAAGAGATATTATATCAAAATTAACAATTTTCAAATAAATTGAAAGATATAAAACCTTTGACGGTTTCAGTTAAGGTAACACGACACAGACTTTTAATAGAAAACAAAAATACAAAAATGAATAGGACATAATAAAGGCGGATTCACATTAACATGTTTTTTTATTTGAAGCCAATGTCATTCAATTTAATCCATTACCAAGGTACAGAGTGTTTTGCTCTGTCTCTCTTAACTTGTTTCTAAAGTTATTCATTTGAAGAATTAATCATTATTAAATTAACGTCAATCTTGCCTTACTTTACAACACGTTTCTTACTCTATTGAAGCTTGCCTTGTTTTCAGTTTGAGTCAGTTTGTTATTGACTGCGTCCTCTTCTTTAGAATTATCCCATTATCACACAGAGCACACACCAGGATCCAGGAATAGAAAATGCTCTCCATGATGATTATTATTTCAAAATGAATAGCTTGTTGCTCTGCTGCACACTGCTGCCCCCAACTCAGTTGTTGTTATTGCTGTGGCTTGATGAACTTGATTTGATGTTATTTTATATATCAGTGTTTCTGAACTTTTTCCTTTTTTTTCCTTTTGCATACAATTGTATTGCACATATCCAAGTTGTAAAAAATGTATTTCCTTAATAAATGTATTGAGAGTCTAAAACGTATTCTGCAAATACAACTATGGTTAAAAGGAAAATAGTAGAATAAAATAAGTAAATCCAAGAGTGTAAATGTAATATATTACCTCCAAACACAGACACTAAAACATTTTTATATGTGGATGCTGAGCGGAAAGAACAGAAAAACATGTACCTGTCTATCTTGGCAGCGCACACTGTCCTTCTGTTGAGTTCTGCTTTAGTGCCATGTTTTACAAAAAAGCTTTAAACATGACATTACATTGACCAATTTAGTACAGCCTTCTGGATACATGCATGAATCAGTGCTACATCTGATTTCTTTGTGTACTTGTAGGCTTTAAGGTATGCTTAAGTTGCTCAATACTCCGTTTGTTTGGGGATTTAGGATGGTTTCTCTATTGATTTATTTGTTTTGTGAGACACAGCTAAAGTGCTAAAAAATGCCCCTGACATTGGTGTCTATCTGTAAGTCCAGGCTGCATCAGATCGAGGTTGTGAGCTCTGCAGAGCTGTATTTTTTTCAAAGCCCTCTGAATCCTGTGGAGTGGGAGGATCTGTCACTGTGACTTTTTCATTTCTATTGTAAATTGAACCCTACATTGAGAATCAATACTGCTGTTTCCAAGCCTGTATATTATAAGTTCCAGAAGTTGTAAAGTAGAACTTGGAAAATACTTTATTTACAGAGCTCTGTTTATTATTGCATTCTGAAAGTTCAAAATGCTGAACTCTTTTACGTTTCAAAAATGCTCCTAATCTGCAGTAGGCCTACGACCATTTTGTCCGAACGCAAACACATTGATCACAAATGTCAAGCAACCGAAACAAGAATGGGCTCGGCGATTGCAGCCATCAGTGCAGGAACTCCTTTATTAACACATTCAACCTTCTGCTGTTATCAGTCTTCACACACAGATTTGACCAGTGTGGGAAATGAACAGCCTCTTGTTATTCTTTTGTTTATTTCCTACATTGAGTATTGAATTAAATTAGTGACTTATATGTTAGTATTATAGTAAATCATCACTTAATGATAGGATTCACAAAGCGCATGACTGCTAGCTTTGATGAAAGATAAGTGAAAGATGCTCAAGATAAATATAGCACATCATGCAGCAATGGTTTCCTGGGAGATGGAGATGTGGACCATCTGTGCTGTAGAGCTCCTGCCTGTAATCTGTGTCTGATCAGCTGTTTCTGAAGATGTGACACTTGTCTTATCATAAAAAAGCAAGAACAAACAGTGGGATTCGCTAGTCAGGCGATGCTTCATCCATCAATAGTATTGACGTAAATGGTAAATGGACTGTACTTATATAGCGCTTTATCCAGTCTTTAAGACCCCTCAAAGCGCTTTACATACTACATGTCATTCACCCATTCACACCCATTCATACAGAGCAGTGTACCTTACTCTAGGACCTAACATTCACACACATTCACACACCGTTGGCCATGCCATCGGGAGCAACTCAGGGTTGAGTATCTTGCCCAAGGATACATCGACATGTTGACTGCATGGGCTGGGATCGAACCCACAACCTTCTGGTTGAAAGACGACCACACTCCCTCACAGCCACAGTCGCCCTATAGACGTATTTTTGTACTCTGTAGAATTCCTGACGAATACCATCAGTAAGCCTGTGGGAAATAGTCTTTATTGACAGCTGAGAAAATTAGACAAACACACCCTGTAAAGTACAGATCCATAAAGTTCATTTATTACCTTAAAATGCCATCAGCTACAATCACCTACTGGATGGCACATAACTATTTTTGACAAGGATACTCAGTATGCTTCTCATTTAATCAAAGATGTACTTAATTATTCAATATATATCCGAGTGGGAAACATGTATTGATATCTCTGCCTATGTATTGACAAAGTAAACAACAACAACAACAACAACAACAATGTCTACAATGATGTGGTAACAAGATGGTCTCTCTGTGCTTTTCCAGAATGTATGCAGCACTCTGTGGTGCACTGTCGGAACCACGTGCCACTCGAAGCTGGACGGGGCTGTGGATGGGACCAGTTGTGGCAAGGAAAAGGTCAGTCCTCCATTATATGAGCATGAAGGGAGTGAGACATGGGGAGTGTGTGGGAATGATTTCAGCGTTCAGCCTCCTAATGGAAGGGCTTTAATCACGGGAGTCTTTTCTATTTGCCGCCTTGCCATGGAGACTGATAACTAAAAATGTTATTGCAAAAGACTGCATCTTTTTTATTTTTGAGCATATGACTATGCATAAAGATGCAGCAAGTTGTCAGAATTAAATGAATGCTGTAACTCCCCAACCTAACATGACACGCATTGAGCAAATAAGGTCGCTGTTGTTTCCTGTAGAAAACTGTTCGGCAGAAGTTATACATGCTGAATATTCAAACATTAAATTCAATGTGTCTCAGTTATATAAGACAACACTACAACCAATGTCCTCTTAGCCAGGAATAAGGGGGTTCACAGTCTGTGTTCCTGTAATAAATGATGTTGTTTTTTCATAGTGGTGTTTCAGTGGAGAGTGTGTGAGAGTTGGACATGAGCCGGAGAGTGTTAGCGGTGGCTGGGCCTCGTGGAGCGAGTGGTCGGGCTGTTCGAGGACGTGTGGGGCTGGGGTCCAGAGCGCCCAGAGAGACTGTGATAACCCCATGTAAGTGACACTTTTCTGTCCTAAATACTTATATATTTGTTCTTGTTTAAATATTGATATGGCCAAGTTGTGGACGGAGGTATGATGTTAGTGGGTCGTCTGTCCCATTTTTGTGAACAAAATATCTCAAATTGGGCTTAACATTTGTACTTGGACTTTGGAGTCAACTAATTAGATGGTTATGTTCAATGGTCAAGGTCAATGTGACCTCAAAATACACATCTTTGTCAATAACTCAAGAATTCCTATGTTGATTTTGACAATTTCTCACAGATGTCTGATGAAATTATGCAGTGATGACATTTTGAATCTAGATGAATGTAAACTGCAACATGACTAGCTGGTGCATGAATAACACTGCAAGGCATTAATTGTTTATTTACAATTCAAATATTATTATTGTGCGTTATCTCAGAAGAATAGAAGAAAATAGAAGAATATCCTTTAACATCTAAAAAACCTACCATAATGCCATGGGTAAAAGGCTTTTAAACCGTACTTCAAAGACCCATTTTCAGACTAAAGTATAGTTCCCTATTTGTGGACATGGAGAGATGAGGTTATTTTGGGCAATAAATGGACAGAAAATGTTTGGCATTTGAATGATGAAAGGAGGAAACAGCAAAAGCTATTATGTTATCTAAAGAATAGAGCTCAGACATTGAGAATGATGTTGTAGGAAAATAAATTACAGTGTTTGCCAAAGAAAAATGTTTTATGGACTGGATTGGTTTCTATATTAAAATGCATCTAATGCATCTTTTTTTTTTTTTAACTGTTTCTGTTCTGATTTTATGTGACCTCTTTGACTAACAGTCCTAAGTATAGAGGGAACTATTGTCTGGGAGAGAGACGGAGGTTCAAGATCTGCAGCCCCACACCGTGTCCTCATGCCCTGCCCACCTTCAGAGACCTCCAGTGCAGTCACTACAACACATTGCCATACAAGGGCAAGTTCTACAAGTGGGAAGCAGTCATCAACAGAGGTGGGCAAAATAAACTCCATTCGGCTGTGACGGAAAGTAGTTAAGAAAGTTCAAAGATTTGGTTGTGATTGCACAACATCCATCACAACTTTTTCTCTCCTTGACTCTTTCAGCCAGCCCTTGTGAGCTGCACTGTCATCCACTGAGAGAGCACTTTTCTGACAAGATGCAGGACGCCGTCGCTGATGGGACTCCGTGCTACCAAGGAAACAAAAGCAGAGATGTGTGCGTCAATGGCATCTGTAAGGTATCGAGACTCTTTTCCACATACTCTCAAACAAATAAATATGTTTCCTCGTCTCCTCCTCAGTTTTTGTTCTCGATTTTAAAGCGTCACTGAGTATTCCATCTTGCATTTCTGTCTCTTTGCAATGCATAGCTGATTCAACAGCCTAGTGACTGACGCTAGCTCACTTTGTTTTCTCAGCAGGCAAGTGTTGTACATTTGACATTCTGCATGAAAATGGGTTAGTTGATAGAAAGATACATACAGTGGCTGTTATCTCTCTACTCTTGCCTATCGGCCTTGGCCAAAATGCCAGTCACTGATACAGACATTGTTTGGATACTGAGTGGACAGCAATCACAGACTTGGTGGCTCTGATCTCATGACATTTTGTGACATTTCTGTCAGGAAGCCACGTGTGTTCCGCCTTACCTGGAAACCAATTTTTGTTTTTAAAGGGTCACTGAAAAAATGAAGAGCAAAGCTCCATTTCTCCTTTGATCATCCATAAAAATAATTAATAAGACTTAATTACTTAAAGTCTCAATGTATCTATTCTATTTTAAGAGTGTAGCGTGTTCCCACCCTACAGTTTGATTGATGCTCCTCTGAGTCTGACATTTTGTTTTCATATTGTGCCATTTTACTGCACCATGTGGCAGCAGCAGCTCAGTTATGGGCTGTGACATTAATAAATAAAGCAGCACAGAACAATATTAAGGATTACTGGGATTTTCAGAACATGAGGTAAGGTGATGAAAGGTTGTCTTCCGTCCTGTTTCTACGGCTTTTACAAAGTGATGTACACATGAACAGATCTTATCAAGTATTTATGTGGATGAAAGATTGCAAAATCTGCCTTTGATCTAAAGAAATATTCAGCGCCCAAATTGCAGCATAATGCCTTATGTTGCCTTTGTAGTTTAAACACTGCGAGGTTCATTCTAGATAATGATTTGTTGAGTGTATTTTTGCTGCTTGTGTGTCGCAGAATTTAGGCTGTGACTATGTGATTGACTCCAGAGCTGTAGAGGATCGCTGCGGGGTGTGTCATGGCAACGGCTCCACCTGTGCCACTGTGAAGAGAACATTTGAGGAAACAGAAGGACTCGGTATGTTAATTAGTTATTTTGGTTGAGCTATACTTGTGAAAGATATGCTGACATGGAAGAACATTTAAAGGTCACCTATTACGCAAAATCCACTTTTTCATGTCTTTTATACATAAACATTGGTCCCCTTCTGAAAGTTTCAGGAACAAAGACCCCCTCTCTTTTTGTCTTGATCCATTTATATAAAAACCTGTCTGAAAATTAGCCGATTTTCGCCACTTTATGATGTCATAACGACTTTTTTGGCTTGTGTAACCATTAGCCAATCACCAACCAAGGTAACCCCGCCCACCTTATCACCTGAATCTCTTCCTAGGGGTTTGGTATTTCGAGCCAAACACTTCAGAGACATGTTTTGTATATATCTGAGACCTATAATATATTGATGAAAAACTGTATAATAGGGGACCTTTAAAACAAAACATCACTCCCTTTTCTTTTTGCTAAGAGACATTTGTCTCCTCTGTCTTCTCTGCTATTTGTTAGGATACCTTGTTTCCTATCAAAAAGTATCCTTACTGAAAGTGTAACATCCTTTAGGCTATGTAGACATTGGACTGATACCAGAGGGAGCTTGGGATATCCGCATTGAGGAGATGGCTGAAGCTGGGAACTTCTTGGCACTACGAAGCGACTCCCCCAACAAGTATTTTCTGAATGGCGGTTGGACGATCCAGTGGAATGGAGAGTACAAAGCAGCCGGGACAGTTTTCACCTACGAGAGGACGGGACAACTGGAGAACCTGACGTCCCCCGGGCCCACCATGGAACCACTGTGGATTCAGGTAGGAAAGGAATCAATCAAGATGCAGCATAGCAATATGAAAGCACATGAGGTGACACCACAGACCAGACTAGTGAAAACAAGTACTGAAGTAACGTTAACTAACATGAAAGCTCAAACTGATATGTTGTGAGATAAAATGTAATTTTTTCACTAGAAAATTACATTAATGAAGAAAGGAAACTGTGTTGCTAATCATACAGTATATGTTCAGTGTTTCAGAAACATTGCAAGAACTTTTCTAGAAATAAAATAACTGCTTCATAAGATGTTTACTTTGCTTTAGTTTTTTGCTCCTTCTCTCGAGGAGGTGTTTGCAGTCCAACATTGAAAACTTGTCAAACAGAAGCCTTATGACTACAGTATACTCATTTTGAGTGTAATAAAAAATGCGTTTCACAGTACTTGATTAAATGAATCCGTCCTTTTTCAAGCCTTTATTCAGGGTTCTTTGTACATGTATGTGATGGAAACACAAACAGGAAACGTACAAAGGAGATGTTTTGTTCATAAAAACATCCATGGAATGTTTCGTCATGTTTCTATTTGTGGTTCAGTATTACTTTTTTGTATTTGATTTATTTGATCATTGTTGTGTGTTGCAGCTTCTCTTTCAGGAGACGAACCCCGGGGTGCGGTACGAGTACACAATCAGTCGCAATATATCTGAGGGCAATGACATCCCTGAATCCGTTTTCTACTGGAAATATGGGTCATGGACTGAATGCAGTGTTACCTGTGGAGCAGGTAAAAGCTATTAAACAACACTGATATGTTGGTAGATGAAGGAATTGAAAGAGATGCCTGCGAGTCTGGTACATCTTTTCCTTGTAGGTTTGAATGCATGTCCCATAATCCACAGAAACACACTTAAAGAACAGTCCTAAAAATGTGTACAGTATGTGTCTCGAGTTGATATTTGGCAACACATGGGAGCCCTTTTATTATGGCAATTTGAAAATAACCATTTGTGCCAACATGATAAATGTCTATTTACTTTGCCCTTTAACATTTCATTTGTATTCATGATATGATATGTGCCTTGTGTTGCTGGCTAGCTATGGACTGGACACTGTTATCCTTGTGTATGTCTTTCTAACATGTTTATTATATTTATGCACATATATTGCACTTGTGGTATAACATCTCTGCTATGAATAATGTATTTTAGATTGAATTGACTGTCAGGAAGTGCAGCTCAGATATCTGAGGGAAGGTCGTCAAAATGTTTTAATTGATTGATTCAATTATGCCGTTTTACATTTTCCCAATAGGCAGGTCAAACCCTTGACCTGCCCATTGTAGCTCAGTAGATAATACCCGGCAGAATTATATGCAACAACCTTGCCTCTAGGGTTTATTGAGAAAAAATAAATACAAAGAAGAAATCAAATTCAGCTTACCCTGAAAAAAAGTTGGTGATTTTTTTACCTTGCCTTTTTGTGAACAGCTTTTATAACAAGTTTAGAAAAAGTTGGTGTCTACTTGAACTTAAACAGCTTTATATGGAAGTCCAAAATGTGCTTCTTTGTCATTCATTAAGGTAAAGTTTCACGGACAAATCTGATCTGAAATTCATCCCCTGCTCCTCGCCTCTCTTTTTCCAACCTTTACCAATTAGCCTTTTTTCTCGCTTTGTTGATGATATTCCTATTTCTCAGTCTTTTATCAGTCATTGTAAGTAAACAGTAGTGTATTTTTCTCTTAAAAGAATATTAATTAAATATTTGACTCATTATTTTAAGTCAGCACATTAAAAGACCGTACTTGTCCTGTTTCAGTGTGACAGGAACAGGATTTTACCCACTTTCAAAATACATTTGACCAAAAATATCTACAACAGTGTCGTTAAAGCCCCTGATGAATTTTTGACAAAAGCTCAACAAGGCTTTTCCGGCATTTTTCCTGCCTTTTTCTTTTTTTTTTTCTACTTCAAGCTCAACAGAGGCTGCCCAGAGATCAGAGGTGTCACCCTCTCTGACAGGGTGGAAATAGAATAATCATTTTGGAGAGAGGTATCACAGCTAGAGGAGATACATCTGTCACAGCTTTATGAGACAAGTCCTTTCATGCATTGATTTGTGTAATGCTGTCTCAACACTTAATAGGCCACTTACCTACATGGTGGGCATAACCGGCAGCGTTGCTTTTAGTGCTGGTTGTGTGGTTATGAGTTCCAAAAGTTGGTCTTGGTTTTGCACAATAAATATTCATTGTTCTGTATTCAGTTATGTCTATATGCTAACTTTTTTAATCATGTAGCGTACCAGGTCAGACACAAGGCTATTGTTATTGTGACCAAAATGAAGCTGGGAGCCTTTCTTGTGTTTTTGTGTGTGCTGAGTTACAAACGCTCTCTCTCCTCTCACTTGTTGTCCAGGTGTCCAGAGGCTGATCGTTCACTGTGTGGAAAAGACAACCGGGATAGTGGAGGAGCATTTCTGTGACCCTTTAACCCGGCCTGACAATAACCAAACCAGCTGCGACAAGGATCCATGTCCAGCCATGTGAGTTTACCCTCCAGACAACTCTGACAAAATTACAAATGCAGTATTCATAGACACCCCCTTAACCTTTAAAGGCTTTGTGGTGTTCATATTACAAAATAATCCATACATCAAAAGCCATATTTACTGCTTGAGTCACATGTTTTAAGCTGAAAACATTATAAATTATGATTTAATACTTGTTACAGGGTAATGGAAAATAAACGTTATCTCTTTATAATTGATACCTTGTTAAAAAAAAGGAATAAGATTTCTTGCTAAAGCAGTTATATTAAGGGAGATTTCATATTTTGCTTTCAACTTCAAATAGCATCTAGATTGCTCCAAATGTCAGATACTTCTATGGCCAGGTGGCGTTCTCCTACTCAAACACTATCTTTATGTAGCTAACAGTTATCAAAATGTAAAAGTTTAGTCTTTTAAAGTCGATCTACATCTTTTTATACTTAAAGAGGCAAATGAAGTAGAACAGGTTATGGTCATTAAGAGATGAAGAGAGGGATGACATGAGAGGTGAAAGAGCTGGTTGAACACATCTGGCAGGCTGTTCGCTGTGAATTACCACTCTTCAGTGTTCCACCTACGCACTTTATTTGTATCCGCAGCCTGTTTAGTTGAAGTAGAATCAGTATTGGAAAAGCTCAATTTACTCTCAATAGGACTTGTGTCCAAATGCATCAGCAACCACCGCAAAAACACACAGATCTTAAACTACTGTACACCCTTTTTGTGGATTTTTTTAATATTTGTGTGGATGAAAGTTATTTTCATGATTTTGTCCATCAACATTATTTCATATCATTGACGAATGAAATTGTTTAACATTTGTTTTATCTTTATGTGCATAGCTTCTGAAATAGGTTGTGGACAAGTGCGATAAATAAACAATATATAAATTATTTTATTTTCATCATTGGTTGGGATTTGACATCATGGCCCAGAATTCAGGTTGACCTGCTAGAAAATCATTGCATGGGTTATTATTTCATAATTGTTTGTGTTGTGTAGTGGCTAATGAACAATTTAACCAAATGTGAACTCTCACAACTAAAATAAAACAAACACTTAAGACATGTCTATTGACCAGCATGTGTTCAGGGTGATAACATGTGTTATAACATGTGTTATCACCCTGAACACATGTTCATTGTGTGCTTGGTGTAAAATACAATTGAAAACTCACTGAATCTTTGGTGACTCATCCCATTTGCAAATCCGTCAAACATTTTAATTTGCCTTTTTAAATGGAAAATAAATGTGCTTCCTGTGTGTCTGTGTGTAGATGGTGGGTCGGTGAGTGGAAGAAATGCTCAGCCAGCTGTGGGAGCTCTGGCCTGAGTAAAAGGACGGTGCTCTGCATTCAGGCAGTAAGTGCTGAGGAGCAGAAAGCACTTCAGCCCAGTGAATGTGAACACACACCCACACCGGAGTCACTCTCCTCCTGCAACACACACATCCCCTGCCCTGCAGACTGGGCCTCCAGCAGCTGGACGAAGGTGAGTCTGGGTTGGGATATGAGGTTTTGGTTTGTCTGCAATTGTGTTTGAACAGGGAATGAAAATACAAATTAGAAATTCCCACAGCTTGGGAAAAGGTCTTTCTGTGAAGGATGATGTTAAACTATGTAGTAATCATAGAGAAAGCCTTTCAAGCTCTTATCTTCTAGTTCTTTTTAAATCATTTTTCATTTTGTCGGCATGTGTGACCAGACATTCAAACATCTTAAGCTCTTTCAAAATACAAAAGCAAAAGAGGAGAGTGGCATACGCAGACAGCCACATACTGATTACTCAGAGGCAGCATATTGAATTACTTCAGATCTTAAGGTCCATGACCAGGGCAGCAACTACACAGAGGTCATGTTCTTTGAAAATTTTCTTACCCTTCTTTCACACATAATCACACATAATTTGAAGCCTCAACGAAGGGGTGTTAATGTTTTCCTACAATTCTGGTTGTATGACAGTTGTGAAGTACAGGTTAGTCCATAATCCAGGGTTACTAAAATGATAATTTGTTTCCCTAAAGCTGCAAGGATTTTGATTGACAAGTACAAGACACTGAAGCTCCAGGAAGGAAATGTAGCTTGTTTCTTTGCTATGACTACAATAGTTGCACTTAATGTAAAAGACTACATCTTTAAGAAAGTGTGACTTGGTGATCTGATGTGTCTTTTCTTCCATGCAGTGTTCGTTGACCTGTGGAAGTGGAGTACGCCGTCGTAATTTAACCTGCTCTAGAAACACCGGCATTGATTGTGACCCTCAGAAGAAGCCCCTCGCTGTCACTTCCTGCTACATCCAGGACTGTGCAGTGGCGGTGGATAACTTTGGAGGGGTCGACTTGTCTGGAAGTGGCTGGTCGAGCAAAGAAGTGCTTAATGAAATTAACTCTATCCCTGAAGTCAAACCTCCCCCCAAACACAGCACCACCAGAGCCCAGCCAAGAAGTAACAGCAATAATCTTAACAACATTGTTGAGGGAGACTTCCACTACCACAATAACATTGAAAATATCAATCATTCTCCAGAAAACACTGTTCAAGTGGATGATTTTTACTATGACTATAATTTTATCAACTTCCATGAAGACTTATCGGATGACTTTGAGGGTGATGTAAAAGATTCAGGGGACAGAGTTGGTCCTCCAGAGGGGGCCAAGCCAACCAGCAGCATACAAGAAAACAATTACATTGAAACTACAAAAGCTCCTTCAGCCATTTCTACAATCTCAAAGGCCACTGCCAACACTTTGAGAACTGAAGAGCCACAGAACATAAGTCAGGACGAAACGAAGGTCAATGGAAATTCATCAACAAAGGAGTCCGTGCAAACAAATTCTGAACATTTGGACGACTTCCTATCCGAGGATTACCTTCTGCCTGTATCTACCACTCGCTCGCCGCCATTGTCTACAACCGAGCATTCAAAAACACTTAAAGAGACACATGATGAGGATGTGAGGTGGCCTGAAAAAATAAGCTCAATTCCTGATCTGGTTTTCACTACCGAGGAGCCCACACAGGATGCCAAGTGGGAGCAATATGTGGAGGAGTCGGAAAAAAACGATGACATTTTCAATGAGGAGGAAAATCAAACTCAGGATGTCACAGGGACTGCAAAGTATGCTGACCACGCTCTCGGCCATAAAACCACTATCAAGACTGATTTGAAAACAGTAGGGGCTCAGGGGACGGAGGAAGATGAAGAATATAATTACAGCTACGAGGACAAAAGCACGCTAAGTCCAGATATCAATGCGGGAGAGGAAGATGTAGACAGTCCATATTTTTCAGTCTCTCCTACACAAGAATCAATAAATCAAGTTAAGACTGTAGTGCATCTGGACGAAAGTGCTTCAGAAATACCTCAAACAACCAGCCAAACATTGCAAACTGCCTTCACATTGGAGGATTTGGACTTGGATCAGACTTATTTTAATACGTTGTATGCCACTAGCGAGGGTAATTTATGGGAGGCACACCTTGACCTCAGTACAACCTCACTTCCTGCCTCGGAGACATCCACTCCTCTTCCCATTCCCTTTCTGCAAGCCTCAGGTAACAGAGAGGCCTCTGATGACTACACGTCGTTAACTGCAACAGAAATTGTATCTCCTACAAACCTGGAGGGAGCCACTCCGCCTTCTCCAGATGATTTCTTGCCAGCTACAGTTAAACAAATACAGACAAAGCCCACCTTCACAGAGAGAACTGGAGCAGATTCCACATCCCGAACTCCTACGTTTGATTCAGCTGATTTTGATTACAATGAAATAATCGTCCCCCCGATGATTGGGAGCAGCAGTGACAATGATCAGGACTCTTCATACCAGCTGACAACAGCCACAGAAACCCCTCCTCAACATAACACAATGCCAGTGCAGCACATGGAAACACCTACACCTGCTCTGCCCATTTTGCCAAACCATCCACCTATTGTGTGGCCGCTTCCAGAGCCAACATCTGCTCCAACTTCAGCCTCCACACAAGTGACAACAGCTGCCTACTGGGTCACCGGCAACTGGAGTGCTGTGAGTCTGCGTCAACATGTTCTGGTGTTGTACTTAAACTGTGGGATGAAGCACAGCTGTGTCTCATCATTTCTGTCTGCATCTGCTTTTATCATGCAGACACAGCGTTTAGTTTTGGTCCCTGTACACATTTGAATTCTTTGGAGACCCCATTTTGCCTTAAGTTTATGCAGCTGATGTCAATTTATATAATAAATATATGGCACTTTTGATAAAAAATGGCCTCTGTTTAAAACTCCCAACTGTTTCAAACAGAAGTACATTTTAAGATTGTGCTTTTATTTGCATATTCCTTAGATGTTTTCAGCCGGATTTACAAATGTAAAGTTTCACATGACATTGTTACAGTATCAGTGAGGTTTGTTGTGCTTGAGCTTTTCTCACGTCTAATCCTGAAATTACTACGTGTAATTAGTGTTCTCATGTGTTACTACATTTGTGGGCAGTGCTCCACCAGCTGTGGTCTGGGGGCCATCTGGAGGACTTTGGCCTGCAGCACTGGCTCCGGCTCTGGCTGCGATTCCGCCAAGAGGCCAGCGCCAGCCCAGAGGTGCTACCTGCGCCCCTGCTCCACATGGAAATTAGAAGAATGGAGTGAGGTTAGACTACTTGTGGATCTTGTTTATACATATTTTTACCCTGTTCTTTTTATCTATTTTGTTTATATGCACAGCAAGAGGTATTTATTAAGTGCTGTCTGTAGGGATAGCAATGTTGGTCGCTCTAACTCTTCAGGTCCAGGCTAAAATATCTCAAAGACTATCAAAGGGATTCCCCAAAAATTTGGCAAACACATTCATGATTCACAGGGAATAAAGGTTATCTAGCGTCACCAGATTCACATTTGTAGTTTCAATTGAATTGACTCCAATTGAACCACTGGATGTATTGGCATAACATTTTGAACAAAAATTCATGTCTACTTTGAGATAAAGTAGATTGTAATAACTTAAATGATATTTTAGCTTTCTCTCCAGTGTCATAACCAGATCAACTTTACTTTATATTGTATTTTGGACTGTAGACTCTTGCTAAATATTCTAATAATCACTGATGATGACTGATGATCCCAAAATACGAGAAAGATAAACTATCTTGAACAAATGAGGTGTTCAGACCCAGAGAAGGGTTTACCTAAAAAAGGTTTTCTTGATAGGATATTCTTGTTATAAATGTTTAATGTTTTTCGTCATTCATGTCAAAGGTTATCTTGTGTAGTATGTCAAAGGACACCGAGACTGCAGTTTTTTTCTTGAATGCAACTATCGATCACTTTAGCCAATCTTTTTGTATGAGTGATGAAACCCGTTAGAACCAGTTTCCTTAGACCCACTACCACTGAATACTTACAAGCTCCAGCTGTTCGTGATATTAGAATAACAATCAGTCCATGTCTTCCCTCAGTGTTCCAAGAATTGTAAAGGAGGCATTAAATCACGAGAGGTCCAGTGTTTTGACCTGCGGGATCAAAGACCTCTCCGACCTTTCCACTGCCGGGCCATGTCCTCCAGGCCACAAACGAAAACGACCTGTAACCCTCAGCCGTGTCTCGACTGGTACACCTCGTCCTGGGGCCAGGTGAGTAATCCTGAGAAAATAATGAGAGGAAAATGGCATTTTGTGCATTCTGGTGTCTGCTAGACGTGACTTAATCTTCTCAGGCATTTCCCCTGTATTTGCAATTGAAGGTTGAGGCAAGAGTGTCAAAATACTTCAAGATTGCATCAAAAGATACCATGCTCCTAAAGGATTACACATACTGTCTACATCTTTTAAAGCATTTCTTCCTACCCTCCTGGTAGCTGTTTGCCTTCTATTAATTTCAGAGCAGAATGAAGTCCATTTGCAAAGACTTGGTTGAAGGTTGTTTGAAATGGGTAATCATTGACTGATAGCATTAAGTACTATTTACCTATGTTGCTGTACATTTATTGTATATGTGCTCTTCTGAGTTCATTCATTCAAGGCAGGTAGTGTAGCTGTCCTTAGAAGTGAAACAAGAAATGAAGGCTTTTGTAGCTTATCACAAGTATTTGAACTCACCAAAAAGTTGGCTTTGAACCTTGCAATAATTATGTAACAATAAAGACAGAAACACAAAGATGAAACATTTCCCCTTTTTGAAGCAAAAGGGTAACTTACTCTAAATGCCTCCGATAGTGGATAAATTGTATGTGAAATTGGCCTTAAATGACATTTTGGGTGGCATTAGAGAAAGTCTTAAAGTCCTAAATCTAACTTGCCTTTAGTTTAACCCTGAACAAGAATCAAGTCTGTGTGAAATTAGATTACCAAAATCAAATGTCTTTTACTGAAGTTCAGGAACTGTGTGTGTGTTTCAGTGCTCTGAGGTGTGTGGCGGAGGTGAGCAGCAGCGTATGGTCACCTGTCCAGAAGAGGATCAATGTGATGTGGCCCTCCAGCCCAGCAACATCCAATCATGTAGCAGTCAGCCGTGTGCTCAGTGGCTTACTGGATCATGGGGACAGGTACACGCACGCACACATGCACATGCAAACCAACAAATGGAGAATAACTCAGAATGATGATTTATAGACCAATTTCAAGACGAAATTGAACATGTAAAAATCTATGAATTATTCTGTTATCATGTTCACCTCACTATTATTTTTCTAAACCTTGTATCCCGTTCATGGTCACTGGATAATTCATACAGTGTTTTAATGTAAATAATGTAATATAACCAGATATCAAACCCTGTTATTGGCTTAGAGATCTAACTTTTGTGTGAAGAAGTAGGTTTGGTTATGGAGGAATTCTAACACATTTGAAGATAGTCTTGGACCTCTGAGGCCTCACTACTATGCTTGGTTGGGAGGATAAGAAGAAAGAAAAGATAAAAAGAGTGGTCAAAGGATTAAGGAGTGGCAACATGTAAAAGGGATAAGTATTTAATAAATCTATAATAGCCATAGAAATGATGTGGTGTGAACTGACAATAAAAAACAATAAAGAAAACTGTGAAGCAACAGAAAAAACATGAATTATTAAAAACCCTTTCATTATTTGCCTTTTGGGTCAAGAGTTTCTTCTCAAAGCCTACGCATCCTGTAGTATTCCTGCCTCTGTCACATGGAGTTAGAGACAGCAGCATTTAAAAAATGTACAGATAATGGTATATTACCTCACTGTGGGAAGCATTTCTATCTCTGAAACCCACATTAATACTTATGATCCGTGTGGTATATGCACAGTCAAACATCAGCAGGCAGTCGGCTTATAATAGCCTGACCCACACTGGGGATTGTGACAATTACACCGATATCAGTTCCTCCCTGTCTCTCTTATGACTCCAGTCCACAAAGGGTCTTTCTATGTAATCGTTTAAAATCCTGAACAATATGAGCAGTGACGACAAAACTACCTTTCTAGAGCCTGAAAGTCTTAAAACTTAACACAGCCAATGAAAATCCAAATAATCAGTTATATAACAATTATCATTGAACACGTACAAACAAAAAAATATAAGATATCCACTATTTCCACATTTAACTGAAACCTAAAGTCTCTAATTCAGTTAATAAAAAAGCCTTGTTGTTAACCTCCATGAAGTACTGCAACTCCTTAGAGCACCCCATCATGTTCACTGATACAGATAAAAGTCAACAAAACCAATGTTTCTAGAATCTATAACTATGAATATTTTATGTGAAATCACAAAATGTTCTGCAGAAAGAAGCAATGTCCAGTAAAACATCTGAAAATGAGTGTAAACTTTCTCTGCAGTGTTCGGCTTCTTGCGGTGGCGGAGTGCAGCGCCGACTCATCAAATGTATGAACACAAAGACAGAGACAGACGAAGAAGTGGATCAAGCCCAATGTGATCCTGAGCTGTGCCCGGAGAGCATCCAGAAGTGTAACCTACAGGAGTGTGAGAGCGCCCCCTCTGGTGAGTGAATCTCCATGTGTGCTGACATTAAAGGGGACTTATCCACAGTCAGTGTTTTACCTACGGCAGATCAGCGGTTTAAAAGCTTCAGTTTGGAGTAACAGACAGTACTACCAGCATCGAAGATAGATAAGTAACTTCGAGCTGTGGCAGCAGCAACACATATTTTAGCCATTTGTAAAACTCATAACTGTATGATAAATTGAGAACGTTTGTACTGCTTTTCCTTGCCTTGAGACAGTTATCTCATGAGATGAGAAACTGAAGCTGCTATATACTCTTTCCAAACAGTGAAATATATTCTAAATACTATATATACCGTAGTACACTTAAACTGGTATAGATTTTTTTTAAATGTCTAAAGCAGGGTTGTCCAACTCAATTTCATCACAGGCCACATTAACATTGTGGTTGCACTCAAAGGGCCGGTTGTAACTTTAAGACTATATAGAAATACATATAGAAATATTTAATATGTATAAAATAATAACTTCATAATTAACTACGTCTGAAAGCGGAAGTCTAGGGCAAATAATTGCAAGTCTCTTCAGTGAGAATGTCACAAAATGATTTAAAAAGAAAAGCCAAATTATGGAACAAAAAGTCACAAAAAAAAGAAAAACATTTTGACATTTGGGAAAAAAAGTCAAATTTTAAAAAGTCAAATTCGAGATGCATTGTGGGACATGTAGTTTGTGGGCAACGTGCTTCTGTAAATCGGCATACAGTAATAAACATATTATATTCTTTGCAAGCTCTTGTGGGGCCACAGAAAATGAAGTCACGGGCCGGATTTGGCCTCCGGGCCTTGAGTTTGACACCCCTGGTCTAAAGGTTGATGCAACCGTCCACAGCAGTAAATTGTCGACTCTTTGTCTTTTCTGGTGATTGTTGAATGGAGATGACACAGTTTTGTGTCTTACCTCTTTTGTATGGGTGTGTTTTAACTGAAGATCACTTTTAGGTGGTTTGTTTTTAGGACGAAGGGTTCTGCCCAAAACGTCTCTGCTTTCGAATGGACTTTATTGTAGCCGGTGATGTGCAGATCCTTCCTTTCATTGTTTATTATTACTAAACCACAGGAAATTGTCTTGGATCCGTGTTTGGATTTTGTTACTTTCTCCTGTCAGATCCATCAAATCCACTGACTGCGATATGAGTAAAAAAACTGAAAAGGTTGATCCACATGTCAAGTGATTGCTACAGGGCAGTCATTACAGGGTATCTGAACATGCAATTAATTTACACAAGTGGAATAGTTTGACCCTGCTGTAATAAGCTTGGGAACATTTCAACCTGATTCGGGCAGTGGTCAGGTTGGTAATGTCAGTGTTGATAGGACTTCTTGTTCACGTCAATGCGGATATTGAGTGAACTGTCAAACTAAGGAAACTCACAGTCCAAGACCTTCTACATAAATTAAGTATGTGATGTTGGAGAACGCCAACAAAATGGACATAATGTGGATTCAACCATTCACAATGTTGAATCCACATTAGAGCCTCAGTTTCTGACTGTTTTGTATTACACATTTATATTTAGGGGTAGTGGAAAGAATAAAGAAAATCTCTTGATCTAGATAAATAGATAAAGACGATGCCCCTAGTATTACGTACTTTGAAGATATTTATTTCAGGGGTAATAAGAGATACAAATTCCTAATGACATAATATTTTTTGATCATATGAAGTATGCACTTTGCCATACTGTAGATCAATGGCAGCATTGATATCACTGGAAATCCACCAGCTCTTCCCATTATGATGCCACCGCACAATGCCAGTGGAAAGGCTGGCTACAGTAGCATCAAAGATCTTCTTTGTTATCTGGGCAGTGTAAAAAAAGAATTCCAACTTGGAGTAGAAGACATTTGCATTCAAAGCAACTATTCACAACAGGAAAATTATCAGTCTTCTTTTTCCTGACTGGAAATTCCCATCTCTTGCTTTTCTTTATTTTGCCTACAATATATCAAAGTTTATACCTGGCTTAATGTGTCTTTAAGGACGATGACTAGAAAATACTCCCTTGGAGCTTATTTTTTACTTTAGCCCTATTAAATATATGCAATAAAATAAGTGACAATAATCCTAAAGATGAAAACAACTTTTACATTATGTGCCAATAATCTTTTCATTTCTGTATGCCACAGCAGTTCAATGGCATTTAAGTTTTTTATCGACTATGTTATCCACTTGTTATCTTATCCACTGTTTCTCAGAGGGCAGCCTGTTGGGGTCTGACTTTTAAAGGCACAGATGTACAGAAGCATTATGGAAACATTTGAGGCTTATGATAATGTGGCGGCACACAGCTGGCCATGTTAGCGCTGTGTGTGGCCTTCCATCTCAGCTAATAGTTTGCTTCCGTGCTTTGCTCCAACAAGGAAATACAATGGTTACATTCCTTTTTTACTTTTTATTTCTGTACAAAAAGATTTGGCCCATCCCCTTTGGGATTACTAGACCTTACTATTTTATCCCTTCCGGTCTTGCATATGAAATGAATATTTATAAGAAAACTATGCTCTGTGTTAATTTCAAGATTGCAAATTTAGATTTTATTATTTTATTGTTATTTAAATGTAAAATTCATGGGTTTTGGTGTTTTACTCTTGACTGCACTGTGTGGGCGACTTTTATTAAAACAATTATAACTTTTCCTTAAGGGTCAACCTTCCGCTTTGTAACAGTGTCGTGTGTAATGATAATTAAGGATAGAAAACATTAAACTTTACAGGTAGTGTACAAGATGTTTGTTCTAAATGTGACAGCACTTTACAAATATCCTTTTAAAAATGACCATGAAAATCTTATTTTACTTCTGTTGTCTATACTCCTTATAATACTGGAACAGCATTGATAACATTCTGCCAATTACATTTGCTTTAGACATAAAACATGTGAGTTATTGGTGAGTAATAACTTTCAGAAATAGACAATGACAAGCACTTGTGTTAGGTGGAGCGAAGTTTCTCAAAGTCTTTTCATCAATCTACTGTGGCTTTGATCATATTTCACTTTGGACAAAAGCATCTGCCAAATTAATAATTGTGTTCGCCACACATTCCAATGAGTGTCTTTTTTCAAGTGTCAATCCACGTAAGAGCGTATGGGCAGATATTGATTCAGGTCTATTCTAATGCTGCATTGACCGAGGACAATCACGACTGAACGCACACCAGAAACATCTCACGTGCAATTTCAGACGAGACATGATGGAAATATAAACTAATTGAAAAGAAGGTCTTTTATCCATTGTACAAAGTTGGTGCATATGTGTGACCCAACTTTCTCAACTACACTTTTTATTTTCTTCCTAATAATTAGTATTATTTCTAAGGGAAGAAATCAAACTCTATATTAGTTTTAAAGGTATTTCTCTATGGACAATGATCAGGCTTATGAGATCTCACATGGGCAACATTTTCATCCGACATTAATACAAGTCTGGCCATGTGTCAATATGTGCCCCGCTGTGATATACTGTATTAACCAACACATTATACCAGCTGAATTGATGTCCAAGAATAAAATAGTCTTTGTTGTCTCTTCATGCTTGTGTCAGAGCCTGCAAAGGGACTCTCATCAAATGTGGACTGGGAGCTTCACACAGAAGCTGTGTCTTTCATCAGTGCAGCGACACGAGGCAGGTCCGCCTGTGCAGCTGTATGAGTCCAAGATAGATTTCAATTTTTCTGTGCTCGACAATACATCTTGGCGCCAGGTCATTAATATCCCACTAGGAAGTCGAGGAGGATATTGATCGGAGTCCATTCATGGCAGGGACTGGATATAGGCTTTGGGAGCATGGGAACAGAGAAAAATATGAAACATTGTTGAGCAATAAGTGGCATTTTATAATTTAAGATTTTGATTAAGCTGTTTCAGGGATCTCTGTGTCATAAGAACTTTTACAAATTCTACTGAAGGGGAGTCACTGAACTCCCCGGTTCCGACTAAATGAGGTTTGGTTGGGTCAGACAACATGCCGTCTGAAGAAGCTTCAATAAAAGAGGAGAAGCTGCAAATACATATTTTAAATCTTCTGTATGGAGAGTAACTCTTTGATTTTTGAAATTGCATCCAGAAAGTTCTGTGCTGTGCTTTTCCCAGATAACCATACTCAGTAATTGAAGATTTCAGGTAATGATACACCACAAAAGCACCCAACCCGCTGTTAAGATAATATTCAATTATATTAATACGGCAGTTTTTTTTAAACGGCATGTTACTGCCATAATGAGAAAAAATATGAATTATCCTCAGTTTTCAGTTTTTACGTTACCAAATTCAAGATTGTTTGGTCTTATAAAACTATTTTCTCGCTATAATAATATATAATTTTTTTTATACAAAAATTGGGCCTGCATGGAATGGACTGTTCAATTAAATAGAACTTGGCAGTTGTCACACATGAAATGACACCCCATGTCAGGGCTCTAAGGCACCAGGGCCTAAAGTAGTTAAGTAATATTAATTTGATCCTTGAAGAATTACTTAAATAAGATACGACTGACTGGGTACGAGTTAGTTCCTAGTTTAGGCTTGGTCTCAGAAAGGTCTTGACCCCAACCCCACTGAGTTATGTCTTAGACTCATATTGGACCACACCAATTCATATTCTTATTAAAGCACTGCCTTGTGTACATTATAAAGGTTGTCTTTTTTGTCCATCCTCAATGTGTTGCATTATGCATACAGTACATGCAAGATAATCACAAATTCTGTAATTGCAGCAACTTAATGCACAACGTGATACTGTAGCCCATATGTTTCATGTAAATGTGTTTTTTCTTTTGAAAAGGGGATGTTAGAGTAATGAATGGCATCATTATAGCATACAGTAAGTGTTCTAGAATTTATGTTTCCTGAATATGTTTGCAAGGTCAAACAGACTTGCACTCAAGGGAATGGCCTGTGGAAAACAGAAGGAGAACAAATGTCAAGTGAACATATGACCTGCATTCAGCCTGAAGGCTTCTCTGCATGCAAAGATCACCACAGCACTGAGTTAGCGCTGGGAGCTAAGGAGCTGTATTATATAGTTTTGTGTGTGAGACGGAAACAAATAAAATAGTTGAATAATTAATCATGGGCTTATGGCTCGATTGGTTACAAAATACATTTTGAATTTCAATCTGTGTGTGTAATATTTCTGAGCATTTAACTATTAGCAATAGGGTATTTATGTATTTTTGGAGGAGTTTAGATGCGTAAATAACATCAAAATCTTAAATCAAGTAGTTCATATTCTTGAAAGGTACATTAACGGTTATCTTTTCATGAATGTAGACAGAAAATATAAAACCTCTCAGGCCACATCAACTTAAACAAAGCAACAATAAAACTTGTGCAGCACTATGGAAACATTTATCAGCCAGTTACATCTTACACAACAAAGAACTTGGGCGGACATTGTTATTATACATTTAAAGATATACCTATTCAATGCCTGCATCTTCTTCACACCACAAGATACAACATTGGTGGGGAAGTATTAATTGTTTATAGAAAAACAGCATAATTGTAGCAGAAATCATAAACATGTAAGAACTTGCCAATAATGTGTTGGAAATAGAATGCTGAAATGAATGAAGTATTGTTCAGTAAGGTTCATGTCATAAAAGTGAGTTTTGGTGGACTCACTCTATTTTTCATCTGCAGATTACCAGCCCACATGCTCCTGCAGGGCCACATATTTTCATGTAATGGTACACCACTCACCCATAGAGGATTCTGGAGGTGAGAGCAAGAGGCTAAGCTCTTATCCATCAGCTGTCCAGTGAACTGAACCAAAACACACAGTGATAGAGCAGCAACATAACCACATCCCTCACTGGACATTATATCCAAGCCTGATACTTTAAAACGGCCATAAAAATATAAATGATGACCCAGATCTGCAGCTCCCTCTCAGCTTTATGGAGCTTTATAGCTAGTTTCAGATCCTTATTCATCTGTCAGGCAATGTTACTGTTTTGGTATACTATCAGTGCTCTCAAAGTCACGATAGCAACTGCTTTCAGAGGAAAAAAGTTCTAAAAATGAACTGTATGATACATGCTCAGCACCAGACAGCAGACAGAGACGGTTTGTGACTAGCTGGTGAACATAGTGGAACATTTAGCAGCTGATAGGATATTTTCTCAAAGGAAGGTTAAAAGAGCTTTAATAGAAATGAAAGTAAATATAACTTGCAGTAACTCTAAATGAATGATAAGGTTGCTCCACAACTGCAGGTGTAACTGTTGGCCAACTAAGTTGACTTTATCAACTTACAAGGTAATAATAATTCAATGTTGCATTCGCACGTTTTTTCACTGCCCCCAAGTGGCCAAACAATCAGTTATCGCACATTTAACAATTAAACATTTAAAACACAAATATTACAAGAAGGGTTCCTGATTTACAGTTTAGCTGCTATACTGTTATTGTATTTTAAAACTAACACTTTAACTTCTGTTATCTTTTGTAACTAAAATTTAAAATGAAGACATAGTGGTCATCATGCTTGATTTATGTACACTGATAATATAGGGATGTTCTTTTTGCTCATGCAATGCTCAAGTTGTTTATGTCTATTCCAAAAAGCAAAGCACTGTCAGCCATATAAGAGCACTTCTTGTATAGTTAATGTGTTTCCTGGCCCACTCTTGTTATATTATTAACCCTCTCTGATACTTAGACCATTAGATGTTTCTTTATGAGAGCAAAGCCACATCAACAGATGATGCTGATGCATACAGTATGGTCAAAAGGCTCTTAGTGAACAGGTCTTCATTGTTAGTAATACTAAGGGTTTGTCTTTACAATAATTGATTGAAAGCAGATTAATGTGAAAGTTCCAGTGACCACTTTCGAGCTTGTTGGTAAGTGGGTCAAAGATAGTAAAAGGGAGTGTATAGAAAACAGGAAATGCTGTGTATTGGGTTGCAGCTGTGGCCTTTGTACTCCCATGATGTCATTGAGTTTCTCTGATCTGGGTGACATTGGAAATTCTTCTCTTGCGCTTAGAAAATAGTTTTACACATGATCAGTGGGTTCATTGTGTAAAGGCTATGTTATAGGGTGCACCCCATACATCTCAATGCGTATCTAGGTACGGTATAACCCTTTTTTTAGATCTTTGGTCCAATACTTTGGTACAGCATGGATAAACATGATTATTTGATTGCATTTCTTGGATGCATTGTCCTACAATTTGGGATGGACATTTATCCTCCCAGAGTCTTGTTGTCCTTGAAAAGATCATTCATATAGTGTAAGAGTAATCATTGTGTTCGAAGGCTGAATCTTAATGATTTTGATCTTCACACAATATGAAATGTAGTTAACTTAATTGAGCTCTTTAAGGCCAATACATACGTTCTTATTGTGCTGGTTCTGGCACGCACTTTCTTAAGTGGGTCATTGTAGCTTATGCACAATTTAAGACATTGCTATCAAGCTGACGTAATTTTGCTTTTGTTGGTACTTGGTGCGCCAATAGAACTGTCTAATATATACAAAAAAACGTGTCAGTTTTTTATTTCTGCTGTATTGTAAAACATAATTGCAGTTAAGTGAGGAACAAGATTCAACAGATACAGTATGTCAATGCTAAGACATTCCAGGCTTTCTTATATAATATATACTACTCTGATTTTTTTTTTAACATCTGAGAAGGGAAATGTCTTGGTCATGTCAGGTTGATTTACAGTAACAACAGTAACAGCAGAACACTGTTTAACTCTACTTTTGAAAGTATGAATAGTAATGAATAGTTGTCAGTCACTGGCATTGAGGCTTTGAAAAGCACATTACTTTTGGATTTGCAGAAGGTTTAGAGTTGAGGTATGATACCTAATGTGTCTGTTACAGCAATTAGCCTCTGCCTCTGAACTCACTTGAACATTCCAGCTGGAAAGAGCAGCTTGTTTTTCATGTTTCTGTTTTTTTACTTTGAAAGTTACTCCATAACTTCATTCCTAAAGGACTTCTGATCCCTGCCCACTTAACTGCTCTTGAATGACAAGAATATGAGGTGAATACAAGCACAATGTGAGGCTCTGAAATAGTGAGTGTATGATGAAGTGTGACAATTCAATTTCAGCCCACGCTCAAATCTGCCATCAGAGCTGTTTCTTCCATTTCATGCTTCTGCTGTACCTTCTGCAATTGGACCTTGTAGTAAGAGTCTGTGCTCTGGTTGATAAATACAAACCTGTGGGAAGAATGGTTCAAATCTTTTTTTTTTTTTATGGAGGTGTCCTTGTACAAAACAAACATTTTTGAGTGTATTGTCCATTAAATGTACATTAGGACATCCAAACATCAGACTTTTTTAAATAGTTTATATTAGATTAGATAGTGCAAGCTTTTTTTTAGTCATTTTTTTAATTTTTATGTACCAAGACTTGCCTTTGTTATGCAGCTTCAAGGTAAGCAAGAGGATTAATGTTTTGCTAAAAAGTAGGTATGCAGCAATATCACTCCTGATTCTGATACAACAATTCAGAGCATCTGCTGATACTGACCAAAAGCAGTGTTTTCTTTTAGCCATATTTAAAATATCTATATACCACACTGTATAGAACTTATGGGGAACATTATTATGTGGGGAAATGTTTCTTCTTAAAACTGAGAAGGGGACTCAACGTGAAATATGACACTAACAAAGAAACTTAATTGTATTAAATGTTTTAAATGCCGATCTGTCACAAGCTTTGGAGATGGCCAACTAGATTTGTTCAAATTAATGGGGGTGTTGAAAATAATTCCCAAGGTTTTTTGTGGCGTATTTTAACATTGGATGGCATGATTCAGATGTGATTGCACAGTAGTCTTTAGCTCATATTATTAAATCTGAACCTGAGATCCCAATGACAGTTAGCCAACTTTGGTAAACCACAAACCTACCCCAAGCGTACCCTAGCCCCACAGCAATAATAAGCAAATGAAAAAAATTAAATCCAAAAATAATAATTGTTTTGGCGGAATTTAACTTTTTGTTTTTCCCCTCTGAGCAGTTTCAATGTTTATGGTGGTATTCATTTTAAATGTATACACAAAATAGCAGGATAAATCGACAGAGACACATTTTCTTTCTGTATTTGTTCATTTTCTAAGCACTTCTCTGTTCAGAAATAAATCCTGATCAGGTCCCTAAACATGATCTGTGTTGAATGAAGGGGAGAGCATGAGCAGAATATGTGGGATTGCACCTGTTACTGTTCACCATAAAGGGCATGTCTTATGATGTTAAGAGGCTTACAGACCCCACACAGTGCCTGTGATTAATTCCCAGAACCAATTATGCATCTAACCTCTGTGTGACCTTTTCGTTCTGTCCCCCCCACAGGAGCAGTTTGCCTTCGTGATCGGCTAACGTTTCGTTTCTGTCAGACGCTCCGCTGGCTCGGACGATGCCACCTGCCCAACGTACGAGTGAAGTGCTGCAAATCCTGCAGCCAGCACTCCCGCTCCAGCAGCTCGTCTTCCGCTAAAGCCGCAATAAAGTAACCACTCAACAACTGGAACACTGAGGAAATACAAATCATCACATCTCTTTCTGTATATATATTTTTCTAATTAGAGTTGTTATGAATTAGTTCCACAACTCTGCATGTTTGTACTGGTGCTATAATTATATCGGGCTCAAATGATTTGGAGAAATAAGAAAGCATAGCCTCATCCCCAGCAAAACAATGAGAATGTAGATATTTATTTGCACTTTTTATACTATACAGTTTGACAAGAAGGACATTTCATGAATTAAGCCTTAGTAACAGATGTAGTGTGGGCTCTTTTATCAATGTAGCCAGCTTAAAAAAAATCATTATTACACAGGCAGATAAACTACTCATTAACCGTTATGGTTGGTACAATGCTTTCATTTATTGACAGCAGCAGAAAATGGACAGATTAAAACATACTGGTATACAATTTGCTGTGTGGTTTCTACTTTAACGGGCCAAAAGAAACCAGGTGCTTCATAAATGCTTCATGTAGCATTCATACATAATTGACTGTTGACTGTTTTTTTTTGTACAACGGGTCCCTGTTTTCAAACATAAATGACAGATGTTGCACCTTTTTGTCTGCAGTGTAGACCTAGGGCGCCCCATTAAGTAAAGGTAGTATAAGAAAAAGCATTCATACCTTTTTTCTTCTTACATTTTAAATGCTTAGCTTACATAACTGGTTTTCCTAATTCTTACAAAAAAAATGAATTTCTCTTTTCACTGGCTTGTCTGAACCGTGTTTGAGTTCATGTGCAGCCAGAGCTCCGGTCAAGCACTTATTGATTTGGTGAAGGACTATATTAAATACATATTTTGCTTCTGTTTATTCGGTAAACTGCAAAGAAGAGCTTTGTCCATCCCTATTGACAGACCTGCAGTGCACCTCCAGTGCCTCATCTACTTGAATATTGGATAATGTAATGGTAATGTTTTATAAAACAACTAGATTAAAATATTCCACAAGTTTAGCATTTTAGAAATGAGTTAAAATCGAGGGAATAATAGTGTCCAAATGGGTTTAGTATGGTGAACAAGGGATTAAACTTTATATATAATATTTGATACTTTGGAACTGTGGTTTTTAGTTTAAAAGTCGTACTTACATAATTGTTGTTGGCATTGACATATACAATATATAGGCTGTAATTCAGAATCTTTTCAGTAGGAATTGAAAAGCAGCTCAAACATAACAATGCAGTTCAGCTAAAGCACCCGCTATGGCGTCATCTCCTCCTGTGTTGATTCATGCTGTTAAATGTCTAAATGACATTTCTGTGGAAAAGCTGTTTGTTATATAGAACAACAAATCTATTATTTAAGAGGAAAAAGAGGGAAGAATAGGGGGAAGAATGTACAGGCCATTTGTTCAAAACCTTTTTGTTCCCTAACGTACAATAACTTTCCTTGAGAAACTTTACACTCAAGCAACACAGGAACCACAACGTTGGTGAAGTTACATCTCACACAGTTGGAAAAGTGTAGTCATGATTCACTTTTATTGTGTATGAAAAGTCGACATATATGATCTATTCATGTAAAGAGCTTTGTCGGATGTGTTTTGTTCTGAATGTTTCTTCATAAGTTTACAGGTATAGGTGCTGGGAACATGACATTTAAGTTGTGTTCTGCTGCTTTGTTTGTTTTGATCTGTATGAATTGCATCTGTTTGAAATTCTCAGGATTCAATTGATGATATGATAAGCCTCTTTAGTTATTATTGCTAAGCAGGTTAGAGCTTAGTCTACATTGTAGTGTGGCACATATTAAGCTTACAGGACACCAAACCAATATTCCAATTTAATATTTCAGTTAGAGCATACCACTGGTGTTGCTGCAAAGTAGACCTTGGAAACAATAGTGATAAAAGTGTTCAGTAGGGAATGTGATGTTAGTCATGAACTAATGGTTGGTACGGTGGCCCTGAAGCGCAAGACACCACAGCTTTTCACAAAACACAACAGCATTTCACAAAACACAACAGCATTTCACAAAACGCCGCAGCATTTCACAAAACGCCACAGCATTTCACAAAACAACACAGCATTTCACAAAACACCACAGCATTTCACATTGGATGGAAAGGGTATTCCTTAGGGAGAACACTTCTTGTTTGTGATTGGACAGAGCCAGCCAGAGAAGCACTGCTGTGATTGGTTGTTTTTGCTGCCAGTCAAGAAATGACGCTTCGCCCAACACATCAGCTGTTAGCTGTTGGCACACACTCAGAGCTCACAGCTCCTCATATCTGTTCAGAAACTGGACAAAAGTTAAACATATACAAAACACAGACTGTCTATGTCATGGCGAATACAGTCTATGCTTTATTTATGTCTGTATGACGTTGTTGTGAGTGTGGACGGAGCAGCTACAGGTTAGTTTAGCCTGATGGATCCGATCCCGATAGGATTTACATGGAGATACGCCCCGCCCCCTCTCCAGCGTCTTGTTTGAATGACAGCAGTAAACACAGAATTAATGCTTTATTAATTCATGGTTTTTAAGGGGCTTATATCCATGTAAATACTATGGTAGACTACTCAATATTCGCATCGCTCTAATCGCTCGATTTTCACCGCGGCTGTCAGCTGTGTTTGCTCCTGTCATTCAAACAAGACGCGCTCGAGAGGGGGCGGTGCGTATCTCCATGTAAATCCTATGGGAGATACCAACTACAACCAAATGAACATATTTGACCGTGATGTAATTGTAATACACGTTTCAGAGTGATGCCGAAGTAACTACATACTGATAACGGTTAGTAAAAACCATGAATTAACGCTTTGACAAGTCTGCAGACAAGACGGCAGGCGAAAAGCTTTTAAAATGCGTGTTTTCTGAATGGAATCGGATCCATTAGGCTAAACTAACCTGTAGCTGCTCCGTACACACTCACAACAACGTCATACAGACGTAAATACAGCAGCGACTGTATTCGCCATGACATAGACAGTCTGTGGTTTGTACATCTTTAACTTTTGTCCAGTTTCTGAACAGATATGAGGAGCTGTCAGCTCTGAGTTTGTGCTAACGGCTAATGTGTTGGGACCATGGTTGGGACCGGTTGGGACATATGATATTGCGCTGTCGGGCGTTGACCAATCACGAAGCGTCATTTCTTGACTGGCAGCAAAAACAACCAATCACAGCAGTGCTTCTCTGGCTGGCTCTGTCCAATCACAAATAAGAAGTGTTCTCCCTAAAGGAATACCCTTTCCGTCCAATGTGAAATGCTGTTGTGTTTTCTGAAATGCAGTAGCGTTTTCTGAAATGCTGTTGTGTTTTGTGAAAGGCTGTAGTGTTTTCGGAAATGCTGTAGCGTTTTGTGAAATGCTGTGGTGTTTTGTGAAATGCTGTGGTGTCTTGCACTTCAGGGCCACCGTAGGTTGGTGCTATAGTCACACATAGAGCTAACTAAGCTACATGATAACATGCTGTCTTTGAACCAGGATCATGCAGAAAAGACAGAAGTTAAAGCTATAACAACAAGGCAAAGGGAAAGTATGTTTCACTTTGCGATTTTATACCTGGTCCCCCTAAATGGACTAAAGAATAAGGACAAAACCACTAGCCTTTGACGTGGTAGCATCTTGAACTAGCTAACTCAAATGTATCTGAGTTAGTCTGGGAGAGCTGATGTATGCAGCTTACCTTGGAGACTCACTGTTTAATAAAAACTTTTTACAGCAGAAATGTTTGGCTTATTATCGTATTAGGGAAGGCCAACAGAGACATTGTCGGTGATATTCTTTTCCACTGTGTTTTCCTGTTATAAATATCTGCAATTAAAAAAATAAGTATTTCTAGTCTTCACTTTTTTATTGAGGTGCTTATTACAAAATGAACTCCTAGTTTCAACGACGCAACGGTTATTTTATGATTCTGAAAGACATTAGAAGACTGCTCTTTGGACACACCTGCCATGAGCAATTACTTTTACAATTGCTAAACTAATTGGACCGTCGAGGAAGGGCGAACAAAGGGTCAATCATATTTGTAAAGGTCTGTAGTGGCTTTCACATTCCACATTGAAACACAACTGTACTTTCTGTTTTTAAAGAGTGTTGTTTGTAAATGTGTGGATTATGTTGGTTTCAAGGCACAAAATCAAGACAGTGGGTTGTATGCTGTACCTAATAAAAACATGTTTTTATGTAATCTGTTGAAAAACTTGTTTCTTTACAAAATCCAGCCGTAACCTTCATTTAAATGTTGATTGATTTGCAATACAACAATTACGTGTTTTGGATTAAATGTTATTCATGTTTTAATCAGTGATGTGCTATTACATATGTATATTTATATACTGTGCTTTATACTACAAAATAAAAGTTTTGGTAAAAAATGTATTGAAAAGTAGCATATGTAAATGAAATGTTCAGGTGACAGTTCCGCATGCAGCCGTCAGAAATAAATAAAGATATGGGTTTAAAATACAGATGCATGAAATAAAATACCAATTTTCAGTTCATTCAAACTCCACAGCTTTTATCTCATTAGTTTAGAAAGAGAATGAAGTTTAATATGTTTGGACAGTTGACCGTGAATGTACTTAATGAAGCGAAAGTTGTAATATATTTACACAAATCCTCAAACTGGACATTACATTAGTTTTAGTAGAGGGTCAGGTTGGAAAAAGATGTGTACCCAGAATGTAATGCATTTACAATTTGATCCCATCAAAGAATTACAAACGGCATCTCATAGTGTTAGTTATAATACAGTACAACAATGATTCAAAAAGTGTTTACTGTCGTAGAGGAAAGCTACATACGAAGAAAATACATCCTTCATTGAAGAATCAACAGATAATTATGGAGGAATAAACACAGTGAATAATATTTTCTTCCATTACAGAATTTCCTTTTTCATCATGCTATATATTTTTTTACAGTATGCAACATCTTCCAACCATCACGTTCATTGTATGTAAAGTGAATTCCCCGTCATGGCAGAAGGATCAATAATCGACCGGTGGCAGCGTCACCATCTGGGTGAACTCTTCGTAGTTGACGGTCCCGTTTGACTTGACGTTTGCCTCTTTGAAGAGTTCATCCACTAGACGAGGAACACAGAAATCCGCTTTGTAAGTGGAATTGAAACGAAAGAGCGATGCCTGAAAAATGTATTGTCTCCCAGTCCCACTTCAGAACGCTCGGGGGAGGGAAGCCTCATACAGACTGACAGACCATTTAAAGCGTAGAGCTGCCAACACCCCTAACCTGCATGCTGAGACTGTGAGTGTGGTTCCTATTAGCGAAAACTGAAATGTTTCACCTTATCAGTGGGGATCAATTAAATCATTTGTTAACATGAAGACATTATTTATTTTGTTACTCACCAGAGAATACCAATATACTGTAAACCTTTTATGAGGAGTGTTAGCATCAACTATGTTGCTATTTTAAAAATGTGGTGTAATGTACAATTTTGAATAATAAGTAAAAAAGTACTTTCTTGTATAGAGTAAAACAAGTTACTTTAATATATGTACTACTACACTGAAAAAAATATAGTTATGTGAAATCTGTTGACATAATACATTTAATTAAAGTCAACGTTTCAGCAACTACTTTGCTGTTGGTCATTTTGTTCTTTTTTTAATTTAAATTTGTAACCTTAAATGCAGGACTTTTACTCATTAGCATTTTTACACTTTTCAAGTGCTACTCAAGTAAAAGTTATGAATACTTCTTCCAACACAGAAGGTTTTACTCAAACAACATCATCGGCATGTATCATACTGAATCATTATACTGAAATAAATCACTGCTCTGTTAGAGATGTGGCATGTCAATTGGTCATTATTTTTCAAACAGACATTTAAAATTCTTTAGCAACAATGATCACAGTGTCTTCAGCTTACAGTTTCAATAGTTTTGGATTCCAACAACTTGATGGATGTCCCTCCCCCCCACTAAGAAGCTCTGCACTTCAATTGAATATGAACTGCTTTGTGTGCGCAGTACCCATCCAGAGGAAATACACTGACAGTACTTTATTAATCTTTGTGTTGCTTTAAAGCATGTTACTATGATTGGCAGGTCTCGGGCTTTGAACAAATTGCATCAAAATCAATCCCTAACAACTAACTGGATATCAGCCCCCCCTACTTTCAAAATGAAGGACTATCTCTGCTATCATAACTTTACATAGGAAATCAAACGTCAACGTTCAGATGGAAGTGGAACAACCACTCTGTCCTTAAGTGACAGCGAAATAAAAAATCAACGCTAACCATTCTTGAAATATCTTATTATATCACCAGAATAAATCCCTCAAATAATAACAGTGACTGCTTTAACTCTAGTAGAAATACAATTTTAAAACTCATGTTTATGTTGGACTAGAGCTTTCTAATACAGCCTGGTGGCATTTAAGTCTGTTTTCAGGAGGATACACCTGGAGATACAACCAGAACATGAATTACTGTAGTAAGATTGAATGTATATGAAATGGATTAAATAATCAAAGAAAAGCTGCTTTACCCAAACAATTCATTGGACAGCTGTATATAGTGGATTTACTGTAAGGAAGCTGCTTGAAAGTCCCAGGGAGATAACTGAGCTGAAGTGTAAAGCCTGATTCACTGTAGTGAGTCAGTGAGTGACACATGAGAGGGCTGTCCTCTTTGTGAATTGTTATATCAGGGCCCCAATAGATGCCGTTCTCTTGAATAGAATTACTATTGTATTTTGTAATCTCATGCATATAATTATCAATTGGATTGTAATCCCTGGAAGTTTGACAATTACGGCTACCCTTAAGGACAGAGTTAACTGTGTAATGTAACTCTTCTTTAACGCATGCACAGGAGTTTTAATGAAACACTGCATTCAAGTCTAAATGTATGTATGGTTATTAAAGGGTGTTCACATTCATATTGGATTAACAGTGTAAGACTCACATTTTGTAGAATGTAATACAAATGTACATGGTTCCTCAGTTGTAAAACCTTTCGTTTACATTTGACCTCATTAAAATAACAGTAGGTTATACAGCAGAGCAAAATAAACTTTACAAACAGTTACATACTGCTCAGTTACTTTGAACCAGGCATCCCTCACTGTGGATTGTGGTACTGTATAATAGGATGTATTGATTAAATAGTAGACTTTAACCTTTAAGTTGTTGCTCTGAATCAAGTCAACAGCTTCCTCTTTCTGTTGCTAGATGTTTGTCATACATTCTGCAGATTTCCATCTTGAGTTTACTTTACCTTCTTTGTTGGTGAGTTTCTCCCCCAACATGGTGAGCTTGGCCCGGAGCTCAGAGGCCTGGATGTATCCTTTCTTCTGTTTGTCCGTCATCCTCAAGGCCTCCAGGATTTCTGCCTTGGGGTCTTCCTGTTGCATCTGTCTGTGCATCATCGTCAGAAACGTAGAGAAGTCCAGCTCACCCGTCTTTTCTAAACATGAATTATATCACAAAATCATGAGAAAATGTGAATGAAATGACAAGTTTGGACAGGAATGATCAGCATTTTTAACACGGACAGTTACATGTGAGGTCGTTTTGTCTGTATTTATTTCCAAGGTCTAAGAATACAGGAAGTCTTTAGGACAATCATTTTATAGAAATAAGTATAACACACTTAAAAGTAGGTTTTTACAACAAAAGCAGCAGATATGAGTACTGTACATGTCATTTGATTATTTTGCTTTTCCAATTACTTAACTTAACAATCATGATGACTATCATCACATAAATACAAGTTTTTTAAATCAAGTTCAGTTGAATTTCTATTTAAGCAACAAAAAACATGCTAACTATACTCATAGACAATCAAACAAAGTAAAAGCGGCTACTTGAATTTGATATTTGTACTTTACCAATTTTGTGAACTTGTAGATGTCTTTCGATTTCACCGAATGTGGGGCTTGTACCCAGGCAGCGCATAACTGTGATCACGTCTTTGGCAACGATCTTACCCTTTTGCTTCTTGTCATATAAGGAGAAGCACTCCTTGTACTCTGCATGGGGATACAAAATGATGCAACACATCAGTATAGTTATTTTCATTGTAATATTTAGAAGAAACACTTTATCTATCATTCAGTAGAAGGTTCACTTAAAAACATTCAAACCACAGCACAGGAACATAACAGACTGAAGGTCAGCCTTTGTCCCGAATGCTCTTTAAGTAATTATTTTCAACAACAAAAAACATGTACTAATCACTAATGGATACATGAACAATACTTGGTAAGGAACGACTGGAACATACTTCATTTCCAAAATCAACAAAACTAAATGGAAGCTAGAAAAAAAAGTGCTGTGGATCCGTCTTACCATTGATTAGAACTGGAGTGAAGAATTTAGCCTGCAAGGTGACAATAATATAGTTTCACTAAGCAGGTAATTGCACAAAAACACTGCCACATACAAAAATCGATGTTTCTAAAAGGCTTAATGGAAAACGTCTTTGTCCTTACCATTTTTGCGACAGCTTTGTTTCCTTCCAGGAAGAAGTTTCCTGTGGTCTGCGTCACCTGTCCCTCCACCTCAGTTTAAAGTCCACCACCTGTAAGCCTACGTAATATAATATGTGTTGCTGTGGAAACGCAGATACCAGATCCACAGTGCTCCATTGTCCTTTCCCTTTCCCCCCCACCTCTCTCATAAAAGGAGAGCCAATTACCAGCCTCCTTACGATACTAGTTTCAGTTATAGTCCGTATTTAGAGATAGTTCATTTAAAGCGCCTTTAAAATAATGTTGAAGGTGAATTTAAGGTAAAATGTGAATAATAACCAGAAACAGAAGATCAATTTTCCAATTTTAATAAACATAAACACAGGTGAAACCAAACCAGTGAGAAACCACTAACTAAACAGTATTTTACCAGCAACAGCAAAGGAACCATATTGTACAAAACAGTAACAAAGGACATTTTACATTAAGAACAATAACTCAACATGTAAACAAAGAAAGGATCAAATCAACAAACACAAAACATCGGTTTAATAAATCTTTCTTTTTTATCTCAAAAGTAACCTCATGTTTCCTTGACCTTTTGAACAATCATAGACCATCTATACAATATACTTTTCATTGTGAACACTTTTATATTGTACATTGCTTAAACACATCATGTCAGAAATAGGTAATACGGACATTTCTTCACAGCTCTCATGTCGATGACTGAACATATGAAGCTCATCTATATCTGACAAAGCGTGGGACCTTGAATACCTGAGAGAAGGTTTTTATTCAAAACTAAAAAAGTCACAATTAGATTTAGAATTCACTTCAATACTGTGTTCTTCCTCTTTTGGTAATAATATTATATTTTATCTTTCTCCAGAACTTAAATGTATCTTTTTTATTTTTTATATATCTAAACTAGTTTTTTTTCTAACTGATTTCAAGGTGTTATTCTTCAAACGGTACCACTTATCTTTATCCTGTTATTGAGGATTGTTTTGTGTAACATGAATGAATTATTCATATCTTTTTCTTCTTCTCCTTTTCATTCTTAAGGGCCAGAGAAGGTGACCATAACCGGGCGTACATTTATTGAACAACCATGAACACTTATTTCAACCTCAAAGCATTCAGTTGTAGAGTTATGGAATTATTTGATGAGCTTATGCAAGGTAAGATTTATTTGAAAATGTTCTAGTAAATGTATCTAGATACTGTATATTCACCTTGAGCTGGATTATAAAAGGGTCCACTTTCTCCAACCGCTTGACTGGTCTATAGACAACCTTTTCCCTTTAGCAGATTATCACAGTCCTGGTTTTTACTCCTTCAATAAAATAACAGATACTCTCCCTGTAGGGCTTATTCAAGTAGATAGTTATTAAGAAAAAGCTTTCAGAACCACCTGTTTCAGGGCTTGGAAAAATGTAATTTGGATTAGAAAAATCTTAAACATGTATTTAATCCCTCCTCCCTAAAGAAGTATTAAAGTGTTGGTTATGAGCAGTGCAAAGGCTCAGTCTTTCCTCATCACCAGCTGTATGTCAGTGCAGACCTATTTATAAAATCAATCATGGCCACAAAATGGTCTCAGAGGTCTCAAGATGCAAGAGGTGTAACAGATCTGATTACATATATACATTCACATCAAACTTCCCAACTGCTAAAGTCTGAGTATCAATAAAAAAAAGAAAAGAAAAGAGACAAATCTCTTCTTAATATATGGCTGAAGCCAGCACAACTTTGGGCGTAACGGTGACGTTTGTGCACTTCTACAGCCGTCCTCAACCATCCGTCAACGTTGATTGCAGCCTCTACATTTGTCACAGGAAGCTGCTGAAGAGAGAGAAAAATATGCGTCATACAAATGTAAATGGTATGGGATTCAGAAATATGTTTTATCTAACAGAGGTGTACACACCTGGACAGATGTAACTCAGTGGTCCTGCTTTATGTGTAAGGTGTAGTAGGACCAGGGCTCTGGCACGTAAATGAGTCCGGGGTACTTGTTTCGTAGCACCGGGTCGCTCCACAGATAGATCACCCACAGTGCCACCAGCAGCACAGTAACGCTGAAACTACAGAACAGGAAGAGACCGTTGCTGTCTGGGCTGAGGCCTTTACGCTGTTTGATTATCACCACGACAACCATTGCAAGGAAGGTGAGGAGAAAAAGCTCAGTGATTTGACCCTCAGTGACCAGGTACCTGGAAGAAAATGGAGAAAGAAATGTCATAAAAACAGAGGCTTCTAACTTTTATTTACAACTGAAACCTTGGCAAAAACCCAATGGAGCTGTTTTTCTGTGAACATCTGTTTTACAATGATAATGTTTGATCATGTTTTACCTAATATTGCTACAAACAAAGCCATATCGTGGAAATTCATTCAGTTCTATATAAAATAGTTGTCAAAATGGGGACACTAATTAGTTTATTTCAAACTTACTTGCTATGTAAAGGACCTTTTGTAAATGTTTCTGCAAACCTTCAACTGGCAATCATTGCACAAAAGAACAAAATGTCCAAACGCTTCTGATCAAAAAATACAAGAAAAGCACACAAAAAACGCAATGCCAAGCATTTGCTTGCTTAACTCTTTGTTCAACTTGATAGTTGCTTCTGTTGCTTTACACACCGACCTCCATTAGCCTTCTGAGAGAACAAAGTGCCCCTTTTTTCATGGACTGGAAAGGCATCTCTAAAATTTGAATTTACTAAAGAGACCAACCGTTTAATTTCTCTTTAAATGTAACGATAACACAAGGTTCATTAATTGACTGACTCCTAATTCTTTAACAAAACCATGTAATCTTGGGCAACATGCACAGATGGTCTCACAGAGTTGAGGAGGAGGAGACTGACCAATAGTAGAGGGAGCTGGGTCCTAGCAACAGCCAACCAGAGACAGGAATCTTCTTCTGTTCCCTGGCCTTGGTGAAGCAGCCGGTGAAATAGATGAACAGGATGATGAAGAAAGGAATATACCTAGAATTCAATCAGAGGCAGAAACTGTCAAAACGACTAAACCAGTTAGCATTTGTTTTTAAACTCAGTACTGGTTGATTATAGGAACACTTCTTTTTCTCTTTAAAGATAACTTAACTCAGTTTTATGAAAAGTTTTGGTCAGAAAAAGAAAAACTGGCTGATAAAGTTTCTCAAATTAAACTTCTTGAAGAATAATGAATAAATAATGTATCGTGACAGCAGAAATGTGTCTGGCAGGTTTGAGTTCAAATTATCATCGGGACGCCGCAAGCACAGCTTCCCTTAACCACTTTAAAAATCAGTGTATCAAACGGCATGACCTACAGAAACAGTGCCAATGAGAAACTATTCTAACCTGTGATTTTGTCAAACTAAATAAACTAGAGCCGAAATAATTGGTCAATCACCAAACGTTCTCTGGTCCTTTGGGCTATGATGGGAATTAGTTTGTTCTACTTTATTTTAAAGGGGCCCTATTCTGCTCAGGTTCATGTTTGTATTTTGTGACTACAGGTACTGTGACAAGTTTACATGCTTTAATGTTCAACAAGTGCTTCATTTTTGTTTTGCCTTTGTTGCAGCACCTCTTTTCCCCCTCTGTCTGAAACGGTTGGTTAGCTGGCCAGCTCTGTTGTGATTGGTCAATCGCTGAGAGATGTCCTGCCCTTAGCCTCACTATGTGAACTTTATGGAATCAAGTACAATGTGTTGGAGCACTAGCCAATGGAAGCGCAAGTGTTACATGGTGATATCACTACGTTACAGAAGTGAACTAAAGAGTCTCTCCCACACACTCCCTCCCTTTTAGGCAGAGGGGAAAGAAACTCCCTCTGGAGGGAACTTTGGGGTTTTAGCCATTGCAGAACTATATAATACATAACTATCAATCTTCATTTGTGTAAGGTCTCAACACCTTACATATGTCACTAATGGCGCATTTCCACTGCAGCGGGTAGCCCCGTTTAAGCGTCCTTAATCGTCCTCAAGCGGCCAGGCCAGTTTTTGGTGGCCTTTCCATATAGCGTAGCACCGGCTAGCGGGTACTTTTTCCCTCTTTTTCCGGCCCCATAAAATCGTGGTTTTATCAGGCCAGGGCCAGGGCTGAACTAGTGACGTCAACACTCTCGACTGCTGATTGGTAAGAGAGAATCGTCACAAGATCACACACGAGATCATCCCTAGCATCGCATATATATCTAGAAGCAAGCTTGCAGCATTTTTATACACAGCATTTTTGTAAACAGAGGAGCTACAAAAATGGCAACGTCAAAGAAAAGCACACCGTGGTCGACCGAGGAGGTGACGACGTTCCTACATCTCATTGGCCAAAAAAAAGCCGATTGCCCCGCCTACACTGCGTTGCTACCCCAGATCCTAAACTGTAATGGAAATGCGCCACGGCCTCGGACGGCCAACGAAACAGCCCGAGGCCTGAGCGAGGACGCTTAGGGACGCTTAAACGGGGCTACCCCGCTGCAGTGGAAATGTGCCATTAGTTCTGAAGTTGCTGCTCATCATTTTTTAGCCATGCTGTGTACTTACAGTACTTACCTACTTATTTATCTTGTATTTTTATTCTAGTACAACTAATGTGTGTGTAGTAATATGTAAGCTTATTCTGTATTATTGCATTGCCTTTTTTACTATGCCACTTTTGCCGTTTCCCCGCAGTGAGATTAATAAAGGATTTCTGATTTTTGAACTACCACAAAGGGAAAACCCCAAAAAGCATAATAGGGCACCTTTAAACAACAACCACCTGAGGTCTTAGTAAATGGAAATAGATTGTTATACCTCTTATTGCTCATAATTTCAAAAATATTCAAACACTTTTTTCAGGCAAAATGACTGATTCTTCCCCTCTCTTCCCAGCATGCATCAGGGTCAAGTCGAACCTCTGGACAGCTGGTGTAAACTGTCTGTCCAGCTCAGTCTGCTCATAGTTAGATCTGATCTGTATTAAGACGTGGAAAACAGCTACTGATTCCAACACACTAATAAGTGTATGCAAATCTATATTTCTCTGAATCTACACTTGATGGATTTCTGCATCCTCTTATTCTGCTATATTCAAGTCATTTCCCAGCACTGCTTATGGACACAACAGTAACAATCCTCATATAGACCTACCACATCAAGTGTCCGAGCTGCTCGTCATAGAAATACAGCAGCTCAAAGGAGTCAATCTGTGAAGGCAAGACAAAAACATATTGAATATAATAAGAAACTCAGGTATGTTTTAATGGCAGAATATATGGTAAAGCTCTCTTTGTTGATAGGGGAGCGCTGTGGTCCTCCACTCAGTCTTATGCAACAGTGCCACCTATTGTTATAGTACAAATGACCCTTTATTAAGTGGAAATCACATCTTCAGACAGGAGAATAATTCATTATCTTATTTTGAAAATATGTCAAATTGTTTAACTGTACAGTATTTATTTGTTCAGTGAAACAAGCGATGTGCGTTGATAATACAATATTACACTTGTATTATATTGTGAATCCTTGTTCATTTAATTTAATTTCAAACCTTTATTTAACGAGATTGGTCCCATTGAGATCATAGATCTCTTTTTCAAGGGAGACCTGCAGCATAGTTCCACATGAAACATAAAACAATAAAGGACATCATACATTATATTTACAGGATACATTTACATAGTTATAGACATTTACAAGTGCCCATAGTATCAACGAGCATTTCATTTAGCCTAGCGTTAAAAACATGCAGAGGAATGAGACTGCTCAGTTTCAATTCTTGCTGAAGATTGTTCCAAGCAAGTGGAGCTGCGCACATAAAAGCTGCCTTACCTCAGACAGTCCTTGCTCTTGGCACATCTAACAATACTACATCATGCGATCTCAGACAATGGCTGCTTGCAACTCTCTGTGTTATCAGAGAGCAGATATAATACGGGAGTTTGCCCAATAAAGCTTTATAAATAAACGTGTACCAATGACTGAGCCTCTTTACAGTAAGTGATGGCAAAACTGCTTGTGAAAAGGTGAATGCGCCAATCAATTCATTTCCAACACCTTACATTTCAATCAAAGCCCCCCTCAGAGCCAGCTCATGCAGTTTTATAAAGTAGTGTTTAATCCCTTTGAATGTCTTCTTTGAGCTCTGGACTTGGCTTTTTTTTTTGTAACAAAAAAGAAGACGCCTTACAAGTAATTCATGCTTTTCCACTTGCCTCATTGTTACACAATCTATGGTCAGTGTGTATGAAAGTGGTTTGAGTGCACACGCTGTAGAAGGGTTTTAGGTCTACAGCTTCATAAACAAATTAAAAACCTTCAAACAGAGCATAAAAGCAATGATATCAGGTGGTAGCTGTTGTGTTTGATAATAAAACATAAATTATACTCTGTTTAACTTCACTTACAGTTGTGTTTCTGTGCAGATATTGAAAACAGAGGGTTTGGATCATACGTAGGTGATGTTATTGTTATGTATTTTTTCACCACCTGACGAACTCAATCGTAAAATAAATGTATGCTAGAAGTCAACCAATGATTCACCGAGTAAGAGATCTCTGAATGCAGGGACACCTAATATGTTTTGATGCTGTAAATATGTGTTTTTTTAACTAGACACCACACCACGCAGGGAAAGCAACAGCAATCTACTGGAAGGAGACAATTATTTATTTTGGCGGTGCATCCTTGTTCCAAATTAAAGTAAATACAACATTTGAATAACTCTGACATTTAATAAAAATTAGCAATTCAAACACATCGGAGCAGAAAACAGAAACTGTGTACTCTGTCACTGCAGCGCCTGAACTCAGCATCACGTCCTTTTTTTTTCAACAAACACTTTTAATACACTTAAAAATGAAATTAATCATTTGTATTTCTATTATATTTGTATCTTATGGAATCTTTTAAACATGTTTAATTTGTGTAACGCTTGACCAATAAAGTATATATCTATCTTTATCTATCTTATTATGTCTTCTGTCCAAATGTGTTGTAGGGAGTAAGGAATCTGATTCTTTTTTTTAATTTAACATTTATATTTGATTAGACATTTTCAAAGATAAAAACATACGGACAAGGACATGGCTCACACACATCACAAACAGAACAGGACAATAACATGAAGGGTGGGGGGTAGGGGGATTACAGTGTCAGTTACATTTTATGTATGCATATGGCGTTGTATTTATACATGATTTGCTTCATAATATAGATATACTTCATTGTTTCCTCATTATTATTATAAAACAAAAAATGTATAATAGATAGATAAATAAATCAGATTCTTGATGTTGGTAATCCCATTATTGCAGGTCATTTCATCGTTTTCTGTTGCTAATATGCATGTAAACAAAGTCACTAATGCAGGGTACAAAGTCACGAATGCATAAGTACATATTTAATTACTTTAAAACATTTTTAATAGTTCTAAAAGAAAACAAAATACCATTACTGTGGCAAAAATAAATAGAAAAATAGACTGCTGCAAACACGATTATTAAGTTATGTTTAATTTGAATAACTGAAATATTCAGTTACATTTTTCTCTGCTGCTCAAACCAAAGCTGGATAAACAATATTTTTTTCACAGGATCAGAGCCACACAAAAGATACCAGCAAAAACTTTAGGGCAAAGTGTACGCTACCTAAAGCAGGGGTCCCCAACCCCCGGTCCCGGGCCGCGGAGTTGTTACTGCCGGGCCGCGAAATAGCTGTGAGTTTATCGTAAAATTTGCAGAATTATAAATATATAAAAATATTTTATCAAAAAAATATTCAATTATTTATTTTATTTTTATTTTATTTTATACCAGTCATTATTTCGTCCAAAACATACAAAATAAATCAAAATTGATTAGCATAAGGTCTCAGCCTCTCGTGCGCAGAGAAAGTTACAGGTGGTGCGTCAATAGGAAGTGGAGCACACAGGAGACAACCGTTTAATCGCAGACTGTTATGTTTGTGGGGGAATGGCAGTGCATACATTATTTGAGATATATTTCGAACTCGGACTTCATTTTAAGGACATTGCGGCCAGGGGTGTAGAGCTATTTTTTTTATTTGTAAAGCCTCCTTCACTTCATGAAATGGCTGCAACATCAGGAGGCAGCCTCTGAGAAGTGCAGCACCAGCGCGTAAACACCGCCTTCACTGTGTTCCCCACTGCAGGCTGCTACGTTTCAAACACACACACCTCTACACGCACACACATCCGATTATTCCCCCTATTACTCGTTGTATGAAGGAAATGTCCGGTCACAAAGGCGCATGATGTGTGTGTGTATGTGCTCTGCTCAGCTCCGCTGTGTGTTTGTATGTTTGGTGTGTCTGTGTGTGTCCAACAACAGCATTTGTTTTCAAATTACCATAAACAGTCATTTACACACATCTGGCCAACTCCATAGGTATGTGGGTGTTCCCAAAATAAGTTAGTTTAATCTTAATCTCGATGTAGTGCTAAATGCTGTCGGAGTGCACCGGAACGAACGTCACGTTCGTTCCGGTGCACTCCGACAGCATTTAGCACTACATCGAGATTAAGATTAAACTAACTTATTTTGGGAACACCCACATACCTATGGAGTTGGCCNGTCTTTACTCTTTGTCTACTCTTACGACGCACCCCAGACCCACGGCACAACCGCTCTGCAACGCCCCGAGCGACGAGGCGGTAAACTCTGAGCTCCTCGGCTGTCACACTCGGACATAATGACCACAGCAAAGGACCAACGACGCACCCCAGACGCTCTGTCGCTCTGTGCCGCTTGAGTCGGGCTTGAGTCGGACTCGTGTGTGTGCACTCACACAACCGCTTGACTCACCTCTAGGTGTGTCGACGCCGGACTCACACAACCGCTTTGAGGCGCCTCATAACGCTGACTCTTTCTATTCCGACTCACTTCACTCACTCACTCACATCACTCACTCACACACACTCACTCACTCACTCACTACACTCACTCACCAACACACACACAACAACACACACACAACACACACCACACTCCTCGAGGGTGTCTAACCAGGTAAACCTGGACCCATTCCAATGTAGGTGATATGAGTCCTTCTTTTTTTACCTTTTTCTTTTAGAGGTTGCTCCGCAAGACCCCGTCTATCTGTCCGTGAAGCTGCCGTACTGCACAGAGTACCGCCTTCCAGGACTTTGGAGGAGAGGAGCTAACCGTCTCGCAGTTGAAGTCGGTCAACGTCGACGGACAACTATAAGGACTACACAACCCTCTACCAACACGGACCCACTTCCTTGAAGAACAGAAACATACCAGCACACGAAGACGTCATCACGCTTAGTGTCACCCGTATAGGAAGTTGGTCACAGGAATTCTTTAGGACCACTGTCGGTCAAAGATCGAGAACGTAAAAAGGTGAGAATCCACCTCTACCATCAACGCCGACGGTGACAAGCAGTACCAGCACCCAGACAACAAGTCGGTCCCTTACAAAGAAGTTCCTTGGTTCACACATCTCTTAGGTATCGAAACGTCGTGATAAATACACAAAGGAAAACTAGCACTAACAAAGTATGTGTTCGAGACCTATCCTGGAATTACTTGACGCTCAACGACTAGGTCTGGACGAAGAAAGAAGTGTACTGTCTGGAAGCACTGTAGTCTCCTACCAACAGCAGTACCAAGATACTCAATAGGTAGAAGTAGTGATGTAGATTTAGAAGTAGACAGAGACGAGAAGACACTTACCTAACTGTCGAGCCGAAGCCACGGAGCCAACTGCTACTCGAGATAGACTTACACGTCCTTCCGGTATCGGAAACATCGATAAAGAAACGGTGGCAACGGAACATACGGTAAGGAACTTGACAAAGCAAAGACCAAGTAAACGAAAGGTACAAGACCCGACTGCCATAAACACAACAAAGGAAAACTCGCCAAACAAAAGTATGTGTAGGCAGATCTACTCCTGGTATTACAGATTCAACGACGCTGACAGAAGTAAAAGTGCCTGTATCCTAGTAGTCTCCTACCTAACAATTAAACGCCCAGACAGTACTCATTGTAGTAGCTAGTAGATAGTAGTAGTAGTAGACACAGAAGAAGCACCACCACTGCCCAGACGAACCGTAGAACGTGCGTTGTGCGTAGAAGAAGTTACTCTCACAAATTCAATAACAGACGAGGTAGACTTTCCCAGAACCCCGCGACCATGGTACACCGCCTAGAGGAAATTGTTGCCAGAGTAAAAGTACCTACTAAGGAATTAGCCACAGACTTTTCCAGTTTAGGTAGAGGGATGGTTTTGCCTCATCCATGCCAGTGTTGACCACACTAGTAATACTTTTTTTGCAAAACATTAACGTGACAACACTTATGTATAATTTCGAAAAACTATACTTATAATAAACCCCGGTATTAGTTAATTTTTTTTACAACATAAGGATATTTCTACCCTTTCACATTACACCGTCTTTCCTCTTATTATGTTATAATTGTTAACTTTACTGAAAAGGATAGTATTAATACGGCTCAATTCAATATAGGGCAATGAATGACTTTCCTAATCTAAGCAAAAATCTTAATCAGCCCTTTACACACGCCACGAGTACCTCGATGTCCAAGTCCAAACGCCATTGTAACACATAATCACACATCAGAGAACAGTGGGCTCATAGGGAGGGGTGGGCAGGAGCTCCAACAAGGCGTGTAGGACAGAGAGTGAATACACATGCTATACAGAGATGCTGTATGGGAAACCAATGTGATTTTGGAACATTGAACATGTAAATCTATTCTAGTAGACCTCAACAATGGAATTATGATAAGTAGAAATGGCCATGACATGGGACCTTTAAATGGAAAAGGGTTAGCTGCAATTAAAAACACAGCAAATAAGAACTGGAGGGAGTAGTGAGGAGAGACACATGCCTCCTCAGCATTTTATTTACTTGCCTTTTGTTTTATTTAGCTAAGAGTGATTTAAGTTGTACCTTTTGAGTTTGCTATATTGAATTAAATGACCAACCCACTCTGCCCTCTGAGTCTCTGTATGCTCTTCTAGCATTTCAAACTGTTTGTGGCTGACCCAGCCCCATGGTCTGTCACAGTAATGCGGAAAAGAGAAGTGCAATGTTTTGCCTAAGTCACTTACTCCAGAAGTAATAAGGCCTAAGTCAGGTTTAAAATTGCCTAAGTCACAACAACATGTTCGTAAATTGGCCTAAGTCATCTAATCCTCTTATTTTACACAATTGACAGACAGTGTTATTTGTATGTCAATAGTCATATATTGTCATAACCTTTTTGTGTGCAATAATTCATATATATCATATATTCTATATTTGGTTCAGTTTGTTTTGTTTTTTTTTACTTTCAAATATGACTTAGGCCATTAGATTAAGAAGGTGACGATGTGTAACTGTCACGTTTGAAGGGACGAAATCGTGACATATTCACGTCTCGCAGCATGGTAAATTGTCACATGTTTACGTCTTGCCGTGATACAGGGTTGAAAGTGAGCCTGGCCTACCAAGGCCTGCGTAACCATACCGTACTAAGCCGTGCTAGGTCCTGCCGTGGAAAAGTGCCATTATATAAGTCTGATGTGTTTCCTAAAACAAGCAGCAAGTCTTACAATTTGGAATCTTTCTCTAATCTGTTTTTACTGACCTGTCAGGACTGATTTAATAGCTCTTACCTGGAGGTAGGTAGGAACAGGTGCCCGAGGAGTTGACCAAAATGTTGGTGTGAAACGTAGCATCAAATCTTTCATCAGCACTGTGGACAACATACAGCTACATCAGTTTTTACTGTGGCGTTAACCAAAGTGCAGCTTCAGTGGAAAACATTTTAATAAATTCAAACAGTGATGTAACCTTTGAGAGACCCAGTTTTAATCATGAAGATGCAAAACTAATTTGGATGAGCCACACACAGCGAGCAGAAAATATTTGGTTTTGTATATTTTTCTATCTCATTATAGCAGCAGCAGGTACACAAGGAGTCAGAAGAGATGCAACAACATGTCCCTGGAGATGGTTATTCCGAATTCAGATTCTCCCCCTGATTCACTTCCCCTAAATAAACTCCCAAGAGCTTAAAGCATGGTTGAGCTGAAGTTAAAAGTGAAAAAGACTAACTTTGAGCAGTATCTAATTAAAATACTCTGAAATGAAGGCTTTCCTCAGAGGGACAATGACAAATTAAGTGCTTTGCCATTTATTAGTGACATGTCTAGCCACATGAATAGATTGTATTTATTTTATTCGGAGGGCTTTTTATTTCATGCAGAACAAAAAGTGCATTTTCAGAATCTGGTGTGGATTAGTTGTATTACTGTATTTCATTTTTGATTTATTATAAAAGAACTGTTGTGAAATGCTTTTTTATGGCAACATAAAAAAAAAGTTCAATTTCTTAGAGCTTCTCTTATGTGTATCTTCAGGTTTGATTGCACAAGGGATCCGTCTAAACAGCATAAATGACAAACAGTCATGAGTCGCTCATTTTAACTTTAGAGTTGCCACCTGCTTCATTTGTGGGATTTGATCATTAAAACAATGAAAAAAAGGGAGTCTAAGCCTGTTCGTTCCATCTGTGGGAAAGTTTCGTCTGCAAAAATGTCAAGAGCAAAAGGGGGAACTTCACAGAGCTTAAAGTCCTGCTGACAGAAATCATAACAAATCAAGCAGTCAAAAGGTACATAACCATGTTATAGGTAGTGAAATGTAAGCACTCAAAGGGATAGTATTGATTTGTTGTGATTTTGTTCTCATGAGGCCCTAATCTGTTTCTTAATGACACATCTTCAACACAAGATAACAGTGCCAACACAATTGATTCCCTTATGTTTAGGAAAAATAATGTAATCTGTGCAAGAACCACAGCCAGTGCCATTGTAATGGTTGTTATTAATTATAGAGCATAATCCATAATAGCATAATCCCTCTGAGATCCTCCCCATTATATTGTGTAGAGGACAATGCATGCATGCTGAGTCCGACACCATGCATATCCAATTACAGGGAAGCTCTAAGCCAATGGCTCCTTACAATACATACCTGTTATACAGCAGGATGTCTGGCTTCCAAATGAGATTGTCAGGAAATCTCACATTGGGCACACCTGGATAATCTGATGGATTCCACCGCAGGTAAAAATCATCCCAGTACTGCGGGATGCAAAAACATCATGTACTTATCATATTTCACATATATCTATAACATGACCTGTATGTGGCTCCGCGTTAGGAAAGCTTTGCCTGAAAGCTCGACCTGGGATTCACTGTACCACTAGTGTGTACTAGCAGCAGCGACAGCTACTATAATGGGTAATATAAATGTATGTGACAGCAGCTACGGGTAACATAATGCAGTGACATGCTACAAGAATTTTGTTCAATTGCTGTGTCAGGTATAGCAGCTTCTGACGAGGGAATTTTGATTTTCCACAATTGCATGTTATTCAAACTGTATGAAGCACAAAGCAATGTATTTGAAATACTATACATCTTTGAGTGATTTTCAATACATATAAATGAGCTACAGGTTATAACATCAGCTGACATTTAGACACATTAGTGGAATTTAAGTTTGTGCACAGAATATCAATGCAGTGAAGAGGCATAACACTTGGATCTCAAACTAATTAGCAATGTCACTGTTTTAATATGTGTCATTGAAATGATCAAACAGAACATAATCTCCTTAGTAGGAGAAACTGTACAATGTGTGTACATTAAAAGACAAGTAAAATACTGAATCTTTCACCATGTCTGACTCTTTGAAAAACAGAAAGCTTTGAAATCTGCCGTGTGTTGCACTCTCACATTCTTTCTCATTGGATTTGGGGTTTAGCCCTCCTCTGAAAACCCCATTGTTTAAGCAAGCTCACTCAGATTTTTTACATCTTGAGGAAGTGCATTATTATAAAAAGGCTTTGGCTTGTCCTTTATAATTTATTTTCAATTTACTCAAACCATCATGGAATTCAAATAAAGGCTGTTATCTGCAAGGAGAAATATAAAGGTCAGTCGTAAATGAAGGCTGGGCAAAATATATGAAGGGATCATTTGGTTGATTCATAATAAAGTGCATTTTGCCCTTATTAACAGAAATACTAAACTCAATAACAAACCACATGTTTACCATTTGCTTCTACTTTTGACATACTAGCTAGCCTACACCAATTACATTTAAAAGAATGATATAATTGTGATCATGTACTGTGTGGTTCTGTAACCTTACAGAACCATCTTTAATGGCACAAAGTGACTTCCAGAGATAAACATCTTTAAGAAGCAACATATGCTATCTTAACACCTATAGAGATGCTGCTTCGAATGTTGTCTGCGTAATCTTGTGTTTGTACCAAAGTCGATTGTGTGAGGTGTGGAGAGTGTGAGAGATTGAGGGAGACTGCTGCTCTGATTCGACGGGGTGATGTAAAGCAGACCAAGCCGCCTTGAAACAGCTTACTGACAGTGCAGCAGCAGGGAGCCACTGTCACACAATGGACCGGCTGTGAGGAAATGTGTGTGCTGCGTTCATACACCCTATCTCAAGGAGGAGAAAGTGAGGAAACTGTGGGTGGCGAAATGGAAAATACTTGCAAATAAAACTATCTGGCAATAACTGCACATTCATTATGTATACATGCACAAACAAATACCAGCTAAAAGGCTAAAGTTTAAGTTACAGTGTATTTACAATGTTTCTTTCAAATCTCTAAAGCAAATATGTGGCCACAGCTAGCATGGTTAGCTATAGCTTAGAAAAAAAACTGTAAACAGGAAAAAATAGATAGCATTGCTCCATCCACAGGTAAAGACATTCACCTACCAGCACCTCTAAAGATGAATGATTAACATTGAACATCCTTTTCTGTAATCTTACAAGAATGGACATGTAAGAACCACAATGGGTGTTTTGGGGGGATAACAAGCCTCATTTGACAAATCCTGTTGCAGTTATTAGAACTTCAAGAAGTCACATCCAAGAAATAGTCACATAACCCCCCAAAAAACAGCAGGATGTACTTGTGATTAAAAAAATGTTGTGAACATAAACAGGGTAAGTATAAAATGCATGGATTCATCATTTAAAAAGTATACTATGTGGCCATCAGGTTGTGAATCTAAACGTTTCTATAGCTGTAAGAGAAAAGGCTTACCAGTTGTAGCCAAATGTTGGTTGTCAAAACCTGGTTCTTCTCATCCTGTTAACAAATTATGAAGTGATATTAACTGTTCAGGTATTTCGTTGTAGGTATCTCTCAATTTAAGTTTCACAACGGAGGAATCATAATTTCTAAGAGCCTTGGGTACAGAGAAGGAATTGACTGTAAAGCTGCAACAACTGTAAAGCAATTCAACTTTGAATTTAGGACCTAAAGACGATCACATTAGACTTAAATGATCCAAAAAGAATACATGTGAATGGGAGATCATTGGAAACAAACAAATACCTGCTAGTTTTGACTTTACCAATATTGGAGAAGTGAACATTATTACATATGAGAGTTGATTTTTAGCTGTGAAGTAAAGGAAACAATCTTTATATAAGCATAAGACCACCTTGCCCATATGTATACTTAGTGATATGTGTGAAGAGTCGTTATTAACATACCACATCCATGATCTGCCTGAGGGTTAAACCGAAGTGAACAGTGAGAGACTCAGAGTCATTGCCGACTGGTCTCACTAGTGGGTTGTAGTTAGACATCAGGTCATGGTACAGTCTGTGCTGCTCTGCCCCCTGAAGAGAAACTACAAAAGACAGAGAATCCAGGACAGTAATGTACCTTAAGAATTACTTAACAAAAAAAGACCAAGTGTATCTGAGTGCTGAGGGTTACGTGTTATAGCAGGGGGTGGGACTTAACAGCTATTGTGCAGGTAACATGTGTTGTGATAAGGGTAGCCCAAATTGAACATTAGATCATTACCACTTGCCACAATGGGCCTCTCACTCAAAACAATAACAAAATAGTTTGGTGGTGTAGTGAAGTAGTGGATCATGGGAGGTTTTCATTGCAGTCAGCCCTGATGATGGAAACCGGTTAAACACTCAATAAGCAAAAAGATTCAATGTTACCCTGTCATACAATGGAGGGAGGGGCTAAAAGCGTTTGATTAAAGTCCAATGACTAAAATGCTTTGTTGAGTTAGATAAAGTGGATAAAAATGTAATTTATGAAAGCTTGTAAGAACACCTAACTCTGACATATGCGAGGACATTGCAAATATGTTGCTATCACAGGAAAACATGCAGTCTATGCATGCAACGGAATGAAATAGATGGTTAACTTGATTCAAATTAAGGATTTATCTTGGGTTAAAAATGATCCGAAACATTTGGATAATATAAGCACAAAACTCAACAAAGAATATAACATGGGTGAAGTCGTTGTTGGGCAAGAGGAAGTGTTACCCATTATACTTTATGTTCAACAATGAGTTTGAGCCAAAGAAACATTTCACCCCCATTTTACATCAGCATCATCATTACAGCATTTATTCACTTCACTAATGGCCACAACCCAATTATCCTCAACTACATATGAGAAGCACATTATCCCAATGATTTGGCAGAGAACTTGTTGTCTGTAGGCATCTCCCCATTCCTCTGCCTTGTGTTGCATCCGGTTATTTCATAAAATAAAAGAAAGACTGAAAGATTAGCTGAAAGTTTGTCTTTGTCCATGACACTATGCCTTTTATCCAACCCGGTAGCTGCCCCCTCCGAACCCCACCAGCGGTAATCAAATTTCATCATGAAGTCTAGCAAGATGACATCAATGTGTGTTTTTGTCCTACGATTTTTCTGCCACACAATCCAGGACATTACTGACCATCAGACCACAAAAGGAACATTTCTGAGACATTGTTGACATATGTTGCTGATTTGTGGTCATAAAAAAAGTAAAGCCTTTCTACCTTTATATCAGATTGAACAGCCTTAATAATATCAAAGAGATGGGCAAGGGGTTAAAGTACCACATATGCCTGGACATTTAGATAATGATATGCACGTCACGTGCAGACACTAAAACGACATACGCCTCTTCAGACTCTCGGGGAAGCCTCAATTAACTATAAAGTGTAGAGTGAAGAGTCTGAGTCGATAAACATTTTCCAAATTCTGAAAAGCAGCATGTCTTAAATAATTTGTGTGATAATAACCATTTGAGTAACAGGGTTCTTAAGATTTTCTTTTTTTTCCCCAATAGTTTTTTTTAATTTGCTGAGAGTGATTTCATTCAGTCTTATGATTCGTTTTCTTTTCACAGCACAGGCAGGGATCTGGTTCATACACAGCAATGGAAAAGTTTTGCAACATAATGCAAGAGGCACAACAAGAACAGCTTCACTCTGTCCATGAAAAATGAACTTAGTGTGATATTTCCAGTGGCCAGCAGGTCCATGCTGAAAAAACGTTCTATATTAAACTTTCTGCCAGGTGTTATTTAAACATTACAATTGGCTTAAACATACAATTTAATCACGATAATTACACTACTATATGCAATTAGACATTTCTTTTTACAATATAATAATTTTACTGGCTGTATCATTACTTTCATATGATCACTTACTTTTTTATAATGCTTATACTTAATTGATATAATGGGTGTGTACTTATCTGATCATATTTGTATTAACGTGTAATTGACTCTTTTTTGAATTAGTCACTCATCTCAGTTTTGCCTTTTCTCTGAACTGGCTTTAACGATGTAAATGTAGTGCTTTTATGTATTGTTAGACGAATATAGGATATCTGATTCTTTCTGATTCTAATGTCACTTAAACTCGGTATTTGGCACAACAGTTAAGCTATGTAATTATGATTATGATGAATTAATAACATGCAACGCAACAACAACACGTCCCAAAAAAAGAGTTAATTTGAAATTGAAGCACACATTGACAGCCTACCTTTCACAGTGAAGGCGCTGACTGCGAGGAAGAGCAGAAAATGCACTGAGTCCATGTTGAACCGAGCGAGGAGTGAGAACAGACTAATCCCTCAGTCCGTCTCTGAGCCGAACCTGACGGGAACCGGAGAATACAGCGTGTGTGTGTGTGTGTGTGTGTGTGTGTGTGTTAAATAACTCCTCCTTCTAGCTGCTGTTTGGCAGGACAGCCATGATTTGCTGTGGCAACATCAAGTATCTGTCCACAGCAGTTTGTCTCACAGATTGACCTACTGATAGAGGATACCACTCAGACTATGTTTAAAAATGTACAATGATGTAGATTTTAACTCAATATATTTTTGTTACAAAAGTATGTTTTTGACTAATTATAACAAATCAATAGCCCCAATATGTGCTTTTACGTGCATCATTGTCTTACTTCAAAAAATGTGTTTGAAGACTTGATGGAAGATGATGCACAGGGATGCAGAAAAAGTTGTACAGCATCAAAGGTCTACATCTACAACAATTAGGCGATTTGTAGAAAATGGTGACATCTTCTGGTCAGTTAACACAATTACAACTGTGTATTGAAACCTGAATGGAGTTTTTTGAAGAACTACTCTCTCATTTTTGAAATTCGTTATTTAAAAAATGTCTATATAATAAACAATATGATGCAACAATTCAATTGGTTTGGAGGGAAATCCATGCCTCATCCATATGGTCAGATTAGAAACAAATATACAACCAACTCTAGAATAAAAAAGTATGATAACACACATAAATATAAATGCACTGTTTCGTTCGGATAAGGATATTTTAATAAGACTTATGGGGATGTGGAGCAGTATTCTTGGGTAATACTGTGGTATTTTGTACAATACAGGTGCCACATTAATAAAAAACAAAAACAAAAAAAATTGATCATATTGTCAGTGTAATGTCTGATACAGTATGCTTGGTGTTTCTTTGACAGTGAAACATGGAAAACAAGCAGATTAATAATTGAAACCCCATAATGAGACCATGTACACAAAGGCAAATACATTTTTAAGGATCATTTCATGCATCTTATTTGGTTATAAGTAAGCACAGAACAATTATAGATTTATTCCAGTACAACCAAAGTCCTATATTATAAAACTTTAGCAAAGACGAACATTACGTTAATTGTTTGTGTTATTGTCAAAAGGGTTGAATTTGCCTACCAGTCATTTCACTTTACCACACTTCACGTGTACTGTAGCTCCTGTGCTGCAGTTTGATTGGTGGAGGAGGCGGGACCGAAGGGCGGGAACAATGCTCCAACACGGAAGTGAAGATGATTTTTGACAGAAATGTGTTTACTATAATTTAATAGCGTTAACTGTACATCCTTTTAGACCACAGCACGGGAGTACCGTTATTTGGATCATCACTCGCTAACATAAAGCGAAAATGTCAGCAAGAAAACGTCGCAGCAACGATTTAAAAGAGAAAACAAAAACTAGGTTTGTACACTTTACATTAAGCTGACGAAAGTCAAAACCTTTTTAGCCATGTTTTTTTTAGTGAAGGGCTGGTTAAAGAATGAAGCAAGCAACTATATAATCGATATTAAGAAAGAACATGATTTGTAACCTCTTGTTTGCGATAACAACTCACTATCCACTCTGCTGCTGCTTGTCTGCATCTTTCCAGAAACCAAGTATGGAGAATGCATTTAAAGTAAATGAGAGCGATCAGGCGAAGATCCGCTGGTTGCTGACAGCTTAAAATTGTTTTTTTTTAAAACTTGTTTCTGTAAAGTCTTGTAGCTGTTTTTGTTTAATAAACAAGGACTGCATAACAACTCTCGGTTGCATGTGCATGTGACAGATATAAATAGATAGCTGAGGCTGGAGGAGCTTGTGGTTAACCGTGCCCTCCGCTTGTCTCAGTCAGTCTTTACCCTTTTCCGCTGCTGGTCCTACATGACTTAACCGTCTCAACTCAGTACTACTGTTGCACATAACTGTATTTTATTATTTGGCCAAATAACTATGGTATGCATACATGTAAACACACTTGAAACTAGAAAGGCACATGAAGACCATCGTGGGTTCTTCCTTGGCTTATGCTACACCCTTCGGGCAAGTTTAATGATAATAATGTCAGTAGATTTTCCATTATCCTGCTGACAGGCCAAAAAACTGAACATAAAACAAACTCCATGGACAAGTTATTTATAAAGCCTAAGGACATCAGTTTGCCTTCAAGATTTGAACAGGAAGTCAACAAATTCAATCATGAAATCAGAACAAGTTGAGATACCAAAAAACAAAAGCTAGACTAAATACGCTACAGCATAACTTATGTTGTTATCAGGCCTTATGTCATAAGTAAATGTCATGCACAAAAGAATATAAACTAGCTGTCAATTTAGTAATTGTATTTACATTCAAAATTACAAACAGCTCAAACTAAAAGGGACACAGGGAGTGCAGCAGACCTTTGCCAAGGCCAAATGCTAAGGTAACCAAAGAGGCAAATCATTTGTTTATCCCACACATTATTCAGATCTGCTCCAAATGTTGTGGCTTCCTTCTTGGCTCATGCATGACACTTTGACCAAGTATTATTAAAACGGGGCAGTCGGTGATATAATCCTGCAAGCAGTCGAACAACCGAACCAGAAAACATAACCTCTTTGACAGAGGAAATAAAGACAACACTTAAAGACAATGCCCCAAAAGAGCACTAATTTATTAAATAACATTTTCTTGTCTATATAGAAAGATTTTACAAACAGGTGGATTTCACAATATAAGTGAAACCATGTAACTGAAACCAATTGCTGGAGACAGAAAAGTGTCTCTTGCACTTCAGTTGTTCGAAGACAGTGTGGCTTGGTTGATAATTTTTTTTAATTTCACAACCATTGTTTCTGAAAAGGGTCAGTTAGTAGTATTTAGTGGGCACCTGATGAGCAGAAATTGTGTCTTATATTTGTTATTATATTTATATTAGTGTATTATCACACTAGAATAAAAAAAGTTTCTGTTTTCTTTCCGTTAGATGAGCTCTTCATATCTACACAGAGAGATGTGAACAGAATCATCTTCCATACAGGAGGTGTATTGCGTTGGTTGCATCTGCAGCCTCACTGCTGAATGCCAGAACTCCTACACAATGTCCTTTTTAAATGCATGGTCGGTCATGACATGCAGTTCGACAACTCTTCTAGTCTCGACTATTTTTCTTATTTGTTCAAACAGCCAATGTTCCTTTTGCATCCTGACAGACAGGGTTCAAGGAGGACCCATATTCAGCCACATTCAGCCTTTTTTTGTCCAAACCATACGTATGGTGACTTAGCTCAGCGTGCAATAGGAAATTGCATAGATGCACACAAAGCACTAAAAGTGAAGAGGTCAGCCAATGGTCCAAACATTAATGGCTGTGATTTCATATTTTCAGACTGCAGGAATAAAGGCAAAAGAACACACAATAGAATAGCACAAATCGTTGTTTAGACATTTATTTACAAGTGGATGGTTGCATTTATATACAGTTGCAAGAAAAAGTATGTGAACCCTTTGGAACTACCTGGATTTCTGCATAAATTGGTCATAAAATGTGTTCTGATCTTCATCTGAGTCACAACAATAGACAAACACAGTCTGCTTAAGCTAAAACCACACAAACAATTATGTTTTTATGTTTTTATTGAACACACCATGTAAACATTCACAGTGCAGGGTGGAAAAAGTATGTGAACCCTTGGATTTAATAACTGGTTGACCCTCCTTTGGCAGCAATAACAATAACCTCAACCAAACGTTTTCTATAGTTGCATATCAGACCTGCACAACGGTCAGGAGGAATTTTGGACCATTCCTCTTTACAAAACTGTTTCAGTTCAGCAATATTCTTGGGATGTCTGGTGTGAATCGCTCTCTTGAGGTCATGCCACAGCATCTCAATTGGGTTGAGGTCAGGACTCTGAGTGGGCCACTCCAGAAGGCGTATTTTCTTCTGTTGAAGCCATTCTGTTGTTGATTTACTTCTGTGCTTTGGGTCGTTGTCCTGTTGCATCACCCATCTTCTGTTGAGCTTCAATTGGTGGACAGATGGCCTTAAGTTCTCCAGCAAAATGTCTTGATAAACTTGAGAATTCATTTTTCCGTCGATGATGGCAATCTGTCCAGGCCCTGAGGCAGCAAAGCAGCCCCAAACTATGATGCTCCCTCCACCATACTTCACAGTTGGGATGAGGTTTTGATGTTGGTGTGCTGTGCCTTTTTTTCTCCACACATAGCGTTGTGTGTTCCTTCCAAACAACTCAACTTTGGTTTCATCTGTCCACAGAATATTTTGCCAGTAGTGCTGTGGAACATCCAGGTGCTCTTTTGCAAACTTCAAACGTGCAGCAATGTTTTTTCTGGACAGCAGTGGCTTCCTCCATTTTATGACCAACTTATGCAGAAATCCAGGTAATTCCAAAGGGTTCACATACTTTTTCTTGCAACTGTACATCAGGATGTTGTGCAATTCTCCCATTTCCCCTTTTTTGTTACACTACCATGGCCTTCTAGAATATATATAAGTGAACAACGTACAAAGTATTTTTTCACTTTTAAGTTATAGACATATGTACCATCTTTATACAAATACACCTATAACTTTTGCCACGTTGTTTCATTATTACCTTGAAGGATATGGCCAAAAAAGTACCTAAATAAAAAGGCAAAAAGGCAGTTTTTACCTGAAATTAGTGCAGTAGTAAACACTATAGTAAACCTTACTATACTACAGTAATCCCGACATGTCTACCAAACGCTCAACTTCTGTTGTGCCCCTTTCGTTTGTAACGTTGTATTTCAACAGCGCTCCTTGTGGATTGAAGGAAAATGTGCCACATCAGAGAAGGAACTTCCACTTTGACCTGTGGTTCTGCCTGACTCTGCAGAACTGGATACTGGACTTTGGAAGACCTATTGTCATGGTAAGGAAGATCAATGTGTCTTGCACTTCCCTAATGAAGTTTTAAATGTGAAAAAAAAAAATATATTTACTCCATGTATCATGAGGCAAAACACCAAATAGCCTCTTGTTATCTTATGAATTAGATTTTCCTTCCTCTGGAGTGGTTTCCCCTGAACAAGCCCAGTGCTGGGGACTACTTCCACATGGCCTACAACGTCATAACACCATTCCTAATGCTCAAGGTAAGTGTTAACACAAGTGCTTTGATGATTGTGAATAAGATTAATACAAATTATATTAATTTAAGACTTGTTGATGAAATGTAAAAACATAGAATTGTATATTTGTGGACCCTCGTTAGAGTACATTAATCTGAGACTGGGATCCATGGTAATGAGGGGGTCTAAGGAGACAAGAACTACGTGCAAAATAAGTATATAATTGTTAATTAAATGATTAAAATATGTTATTTTCTTATCATCAAACATGATTACACACACATTCCTAGCTCATACATTTGTACAATCAGGCCCACTATGGTAACCACCAGAATAAAACATGTAAACAGCCACATTCATCTTTAAGCAGGGTGTCCACGGGGTCTTAAAAAGTATTAAAAGTTGATCAATCAATTTAGTGAAAATTAAGGCTATTAAAAAGTATTAAAGGGCATTTTCCAAGGTATTACATTTTGTAGCTTGTTTTCAATAAGTATATCAATTGTCCAAAGAGGTTGTATTCTACAGTCTGCCTGAATGTAATCATTGCGTAGGTGTGTAGTGTGATTCTGTGTAGTTTATTTATGGCATCCCGTTGGATTTGACGTCATCTGAACAGGACATCGCACTGCTTGATAGCGCGCGAAGGTCCGTTTACACCGGCTCTAACAACATCGTTATGGGGAAATGCAAGTTTGCGTCCAAATGGTTGGAAGATAAGGAGGAAGGACAATCAATACTGTATATAGTAAATGTGAGGTAAAGTGTGTCGCCAATGTAACCGGTTAAAACTCAAAGTGGCGATGAGGTCTTGTATGAAAAGGGTCTTAAAAAAGGTCTTAAAAGGAATTACATTTGACTTCAGGATTCCTGAATATATCCTGTTAAGGTATAATTGACCCCAACATGGACAAACATGTAAGGTAATAGCAATATCATATCAGGCTTAAATGTATATGAAACAAATTAGAAAAATGGTTTCTCCATAACCTGTTGCTCTATGACACAGCTTCACATACAGCAGGAGTTAGTTAACCTGAGGTGCCAATTATAAATGACATTTACGGTTGCATATTAATTATGCTGAATCAGCTACATTTCTAACAGGGTTTCTGGCAGTGATAGGTTCGCTGTGTGTTGCCTTTGCACTCTTGTTTTATCCCTGCAGGGAAATGACATGACTGTGAATAAGAAACAGTGGACGGACACTGTTTGTAGCCTTTGTATATTAAACACTTTTACACTGATAACATGCAATGGTCACACAGATGTAATGATTTATATTCATCTAAAAAATCTCTCCTAGTTTTACACTGATATTGTATACATGTAGTAAACTAATTTCCCATTCCGGCTCAACAATATGGTCCTTTGTTCTTTCAGTGTTGGATATGATTGGCTTGTAATTGAAAACCTTTTGATCCTGTCCATTAATTGCATACAATCACGATGCCAATTGATTATAAGCTTTACAGTATGAGACTGTTATCCGACATGTTACATTATGTCAGCTAATTAAAGCTGCTCCTGTAACTAAGCTGTCTATATAGATGATACATATCCATTTTAGTTTGCTTCAGTTGACTTTAGAATCAAAATATTATTGATCTGGGGCATTTTTTTCCTGTTGCCACTTTTTCTAAAGCTAAATTGACACGAAGAAACAAGGCAGCCAAAAGTGACAGACCTGCTTTTGAAGGCACAACACTGAAGTTCATTCATGCATCAACAGAGACGTGAAATTCATTTCTGATTATCTGCAGTCTGCCACACCACAGGACTGATAATAACTGCAAAGCATAAATGAAATAAATAAAGCTACATGCTTTTTCTTTTGAAGGAATGGAGGTTAATTTATTGTGAAACAAAAAATATGGCTTGTTTTTATGCATATTTTCAGTTGACCTAATTATTTAAAAAATGATGAGACCAAAACAATTGATAATTTCGCTTAAGACACAGATGGTGTGATATTTACAGAATGTGTGTGTTGCTGCTCCATCCAGCTGATAGAGCGCAGCCCCAGGGCACTGCCTCGCTCGGCGGTCTACCTCTGCATCATCACGTTCGTCATGGGAGCCAGCATCCACCTGGTGGGAGACTCCATCAACCATCGGCTCCTCCTCAGCGGCTACCAGCTCCACCTGTCAGTCAGAGAGAACCCCATCATCAAAGACCTCAAACCGGCCTCACTGGTGAGTATCTTCATAATGTTTATCTGTTTGTGTAGAGGTGTAGGGTAAATAATTGTCCATGATGAGTGCACCAGGAACACTGGAATAGCCTGAGGAATGTGTCAAACTGTTTTTTTTCTGCTCGTCATGTTTGGCTAGTGGGTGATACAACTGCTGGGCCCTATGTACATTTTACAGAATCTATGAACATATTTTGAAAAAGAGCTTATCTTACTTACTTATCTGCTTATGACACAAAAAAACAACACGAAACATATCAGTATTGTCAGACTTGTTTGATCCAGCAGAATTCATCCCGCTGTCTAAGAGTGCAGCTAATTTTTCTCCCTGACATATCCTGACTTAAAGCACCATAGTTGTGACAATGATGTTGTCAACAAGATATTGTAGGTTGATCGATGTATGGCATATCTGGGGCAGAATACAAGCTCAGAAGCATGGCTTGTTTCATCTCTCTTCTGCTTTCTGGCAAGTTGGTCCCAGAAGACCCGTAAAAAGTATTTAAAATTACTTAAATGTAGTTTTTGATGTTCAAGGTCATCCATTCTAACCATTTCTTAAAGAAGTCTGACATCTAACAAGGCAAGGAATATCATTGAAGCTTGGGCAGAATAAACAAGTGTGTATTACTTTGATCAGTGTTTTTTTATATATTTTTCAACGACAATCTACACTGTCCACTACCTATGTTTATTGACAACAAATATTTTAGGTCAGGGGTTCCCAACCTTTATTGTGCCAAGGACCGGCAGATACATTAAAAAAAATGTGCGGACCGGTTGTCAATTTTAACTGATTTGAATATTTACTCACCAGCAGGTGGCAACAGAGGCTAATTGTATTTAACAGCGTTAAACATATTAACAACGTTTAAAACCAGGATACAATTAAAACAAAAAATTAGGACCGCTTTACAAATATTAATATAATATAATATAGCCTAATATAGGTGGCAACAGTGGCTAATTGTATGTAACAGGCCTGAACAAATAATAGAACAATATGCATCCAAAACATATTAACACAGTTTAAAACCAGGATACAATTAAAACAAATTAGGACCACTGTACACATATTGATATAACTGAAATGTCAGTGAGACCCCTGGGCTTGTTTGCCAGCAATAATAACGTCATACCCTATGGTCATACCGGGACGTTCGTTCCGGTGCACTCCGACAGCATTTAGCACTACATCGAGATTAAGATTAAACTAACTTATTTTGGGAACACCCACATACCTATGGAGTTGGCCAGATGTGTGTAAATGACTGTTTATGGTAATTTGAAAACAAATGCTGTTGTTGGACACACACAGACACACCAAACATACAAACACACAGCGGAGCTGAGCAGAGCACATACACACACACATCATGCGCCTTTGTGACCGGACATTTCCTTCATACAACGAGTAATAGAGAGCCGCAGTGACGCGTCGTAAAACCCGGAAGTAAGTTAGCATTTTTAGCACTTCCGGTTCCTTCCTCAAAAAGCAATGCATTTTTTCCATAG